TTAGGGCAAAGGGTTAGACTGAGACACACTGTATATTCACAGATCAGAATCACAGAAACAACCTACTCACAGGACCTTAAAATGCTTAACATACCCCATCTCACTACCACACTACCAAAGGCTTACAGCAGCTACTTTAACCATGACAAAGCTATAAAGGAAGAAAAAAAGATTCAAGTGCAAAAACACATATTTGGTACAACAGAGCAAGCATTGGGACTGCAGTCAGTACTGTAGGAATGCTGGACTATGGTAGGGATGCTAGGGTTGTTAGAATTGAACAACAGTGATTATGGAAAAAGCTTTCGCTAATTAAGCAGACAACATGCAACAAGAGATGAGCAATGTAAATTCTGAAAAACTCAGAACCAACAAAAGACAGAAACCAAAAATCTAACAGAACAGAGTGTTCATGATCAGCTTATTGACAGACCAGAGAATGCTGAGAAAAGAATCCTGAACTGCAGATATCTCAGCTGAAATCATTCAAACAGAAAAGCAGAGAGAAAAAATACTGAATGTAACAGAAAGTAATTTCCAAAAACTATGGGACAATACAAAAGATCTAAGTAAACGTGATGGGATGCCAGGAGAAGCAAGAGAAAGGAACACATTTTGAGCCATGATGACTGAGAACATCCCCAAATTAATGTCAGACACAGTCAGCAGTCAGGAAGCTCAGAGAACACCAGACAAAAACAAAACCCCAGAACTTTGTCCAGCTACATTGTCTTCTAACCATAGAAAATCAAAGATAAGGCAGAACTACAGCAAAAAGCCAGAGCGGGAAAGAAAAATAAGACCATACCTAGCATCTCTTCAGAAACTACAGAAGAGAATGAAATAAAATATTTAAACTTAAAAGGGGGGAAGGATTAGAATTCTGTACCCTGCAAAATTATACTTTAAAAAGTAAAAAATAAATAAAATATTTCCTCAAACAAAAATTGAATGACTATGTTGCCAGTGAACCTACCCTGCAAGAATGTGAAATGAAAATCTTTTAGAAAAAGGACGTGAAAAAAGCCATTTATCAAAACTCAGAATTACATAAAGAGTATCAGAGAGGATTTGTATTCTTTTTTTTTTTTTTTTTTTTTTTTTTGGTTTTTCGAGACAGGGTTTCTCTGTGTAGCTCTGCGCCTCTCCTGGAACTCACTTGGTAGCCCAGGCTGGCCTCGAACTCACAGAGATCCGCCTGGCTCTGCCTCCCAAGTGCTGGGATTAAAGGCGTGCGCCACCACCGCCCGGCCAGGATTTGTATTCTTAATTGATTTACTAACAAGTAACAGTTAATTCAAAATTGATAGCAACAATGTTATTCAATCATGTTTAGAAAAATGGAATTTGTAGGTAAATAAATACATGTTTTATAAGCATGAATATTGAAGCTATATGTTCTTGATTTGATCATTGGTGGAATCTGAATCCATGTATACAGAAGCTTTCTACAAGTAACTTGAAAAGGGGATTTTGTGGGACTCCTTCTGGACTAAGCACTCTGACACCATTGAGAGTGGAAGAGAGGAGGGGTCACTAGTGGACCGAAGCCACAGCTCCTGAAAGGTTTCAATCCTGCATCCAGTTAACAGTCTCATTTTATCGTCTAAAACCACAAGGTGAGGTAGGCAATCAAGCAAGATTTTGCATAAACATATATGGCAGTCAGCAAGTTGTTAAGGGCATTAACCCATTGTCTCAGCTATTTCTCCAGGCCATTCTGCTTCAATTAGCAATTTAAGCTATGGGATGGTGGTCTTTCTGTATGCTATGCATATGTGTTGCTACCAGTGGTTAATAAAGAAGTGGCTCTGGCCTATGGCAAGACAGGTTATAGCCAGAGGAGGAATGCAAGCAGAGGGGGAAGGGTCAAGTCAAGGCAGACACCATCCAGCTGCCCAAAAAACAAGATGCCAGCAAACTGGTAATGCCACGGCCACATGGCAAAATACAGATTAATAGAAATGGGTTAATTTAAGATGCCAGAGCTAGCTAGCAATAAGCTAGAGCCATAGATCAAACAGCTTGTAATTAACATAAGCCTGTATATGTTTATTTGGGTCCAAATGGCTATAGGACACAGGAAAACTTCTGGCTACATCTGGTGCCCAATGTGGGGCAAGAATGTCCACATAAAACCTGAGAGCTTAAAAAAAAAAAAAAAAGGTTCTAAAATAAAAGTAAGAACAGCTTCCTACTTCAGGCCATGGTACAGAGACGCATCCTCTGGTTGCAGCAGGCTTCAGCAGCAGCATGGCAGACTCCCGTGTCTCTCACAGGATGTGATACAGAGAGGCTGCCTGTGGGCTTGGGAGCACAGCTGTGGGCTTGAAAACACAGCTCCATGCTACTTAATACTGCCTCCCAGAACTGGGGAGGTAAGCGTGACTCGTAGGTACCTGTGACTCATTGGTACCTGTGCCATGTTGGGAAGCCGAGTGGGGCAGAGCCAGCCACCAAAGCTGTGCTTCGGTCCAAAGCATACAGCTTATTTTAAAAACTCTCCTGGTCAGAAAAAAGATTAAAGATACACAATAAAACAGATTCAGATGGGGGAAAAAACTCTAAACAAGTTACAAGATGTTTAAAAATATACATAGGTTTGAGAGAGAAAAGAAAAAAGGTAAAGAAAGTCCTTAAAAAAAGAAAGAGTAATTTAAAAAAAAGCCACATAAAAATGGAAAATGCAGAGAGAGTTTGGATACTGTACATTACTGTGTTGTCTTTGGGATTTTTAATTGCAGGCAGACATTTGATTATAGGGTCTGCTAAGATAAACCAACATATATATCTTTGGGTGACTGTCCAGGCAGCCAGATGTCTCTGTTATTTCTAGAATTTTGGAAGTTGCTTACAATGTACTTCTTGTTTACTCAGGTAATATTATATCCTTCTGGGGTCTTTGATGGAGTTGAAGACTAGATAGTTATAATTATAGTTTTCCTTGGTTATGATAAAAGGTAAATTAGATATGAAACTTTAAACTCACAAATATAGGAGAGATGATAGTGTTTTCTTTAAGTTTGCCAAAACCAAATAGACTAGATATTGTAACTGCAATTGTTGCTTGATAACTGTTTTGATATATGTAGTTTTACTATGTTAAAGTTAAAATCCTCCGTTTTGATTAGACAGAAAAGGGGAAATTCTGTGGGATGGTCTTTCTGTATGTTGTGAATATATGTTGCTACCACTGGTTAATGAAGAAGCTTTTCTGGCCTATGGCAAGGCAGGTTATAGCCAGCAGGAAATCCAAGGGAGATAGTGAAGAAAGGTGGAGTCAGGGCAGAAGCCATCCAGCTGCCCAAGGAACAAGATGCCAGCAGACGGTAACACCATGGCCACATGGCAAAATATAGATTAATAGAAATGGGTTAATTTAAGATGTCAGAGCTAGCTAGCGGTAAGCCTGAGCCATAGACCAAGCAGCTTGTAATTAACATAAGCCTCTGTGTGTTTGTTTGGGACCAAACGGCTGTGGGACACAGGAAAACTTCTGGCTACAATAGGCAATACAAATAGTGCTTTAAGTGAATCACTAAATAAATCAGTGAATCAGGACCTATTTTCTACCCATTCTACTTCAGAAAGGAGAATGGGAAGGCAGGGTAAAGGAGGGAATATGGGATAACTAACACTAAAGGTCTTTTGAAAAGCCACATGGATACCTACTACTATAGAAGATTCTTAATATAAGAGAAATTTAAATGGAGTTACCATATAATGGGGAATAGAATGCCCCAATCAGACATCAAGTCCCATAGACCAACCCCTCAAATATTACAGGGTGCCAATACTATGGCTACCCTCCAGCATATAACAGCAAGGCCCCTATTGCTGAAGACACCACTCACTTACATTATCAAACATGGAGAAATGGAGCTGTTTCCCAACCAGCAGCTTTACCTCTCCTGGCTAGCACTCACAGTGCTGGAAAGTACTTCTTACACTACTAGAGGAGAAAAGGAGCTATTGGTCTCACCAAGCTACAAACCCTGTGACCTGCAACAGCAACTTGCCTACAAGATATACTGATGGAATAGTGTCATAAATGTTACGGGAGCAACTAACTATTCTTTCATAAATGAATTTAGGGCCCACTCCACTCCATGAAACTCACAGTGAACGTCAGTTAACAAGGCCAAAACCCTAAGACTAGATAAGTCCTATGTCCTAGGGAAACCCTACTACTTTATTTACTGCTAAATGCACAATTCAATAAAGTAACTCCTGATGACTTATCACTATATCCATAGATCAGTGCATCACTCAGCCCTCATCAGAGAAGCTTTTTTCTTGCAGTAGACAGTTCTTAACAGAGAGACCTACAACTGGACAATGTGCAGACAGTTGAGACCTTGGAGCTTTCAGCTTTTAATTAACTTACTAAACCCCTACCCTTGAGGCTTGGGTTCATTGCAGAAGGTGACACAAAAAGATTCTAAGAGCCAGAGGTAGTGGATGGTGCCAAGGAAAAGTGTCTTCCAGACACATCAGGGCTGCTGGAAATATGAATCCACAAGGACTGTGACAGCATGCACAGGACCGACACAAACTCAAGTCAGACAAAAGTCACAGCACAGATGGGGGAAGTGGGCACAAAGCCCCATCCCTAACCAAAAAGCTGTTTCCACTGGTATCTGCTGGGAAGGCAGTTTTCTCTAGTGCAGTAAGACTGAGTAGATCAACCACAATCCAGGGTAGGCCTCATGCTCAGGAGTAGTTGACCAAGATAAAATGGACTCCATGTTTTATGTTTTGTTTTTATTTTTTGTTGTTGTTTTTATAGCTTGGTGTTTTTGTCTTTTTTGGTTTTTGTTTTCCTTTCTTGTTTTTTTTTTTTTGTTTTGTTTTTTTGAGAGAGGAAGAACATGAAGTTGGATGGGTAGGGAGGGAGGATCTGGGAGGACTTGCAGGAGGGTTAAGAATATGATCAAACTACATTGTGTGCATTTTAAAACAATAATTTTAAAATATAAATAAATAAAAATAAAACTTACGTGAGACAGAAACAGCAGACAGCAAAGCTAAGTGCAAATCCACTCTCTTTGGCTGCGTGTTGCTGACCAAAGCCAGTTTATCATCAGCATGGCAGGCTGCCATCAGCCCAGCCCAGACAGCAGGGTCATCTAAACAAGAAATACCGTTTGAAGGCTCGTTCATCACAACATGCTGCTGCAAAACTACCATAAATAAAAGTTTATGACTTTTCCAATAAAAATTAATTATATCTTAAGAAAAAAAAAACCATTTCCTTAAAGGAAAGCTAATTTGTTTCCCCAAAATAAACTGGTATATTTAACCTTCAAGACTTGTAAAATTCCCTAAACATCTCATAAAAGGGTAGTCTACTAAGCTCTTGTCCCATGGCTCTCCCTATGTGGCTCAGTTCCTGCCCATGGCTCTCCCTATGTGGCTCAGTTGCTGCCCATGGCTGTCCCTATGTGGCTCAGTTCCTGCCCATGGCTGTCCCTGTCTGGCTCTATTCCTGTCCCATGGCTCTCCCTATGTGGCTCAGTTCTTGCCCATGGCTGTCCCCATCTGGCTCAGTTCTAAAGTGCTGTGCTACTATGAAGAGTTCAATTTCATTCCCTTCCCCTAGACGTGGAGGACAAGTCTCTAGCATACCTTCATTACTCTATTCCTGTTTGAAAGGCTTAGTTTAAGGAGAAACAAGTGAACATACTTTGGTTTTGATGCTTACAAAAAATAAGAACTGAAGGAAAAACTTAACACTGAATTTATGTTCTAAGAAGAAAGCATGAAAGATATCTTATGATGCCATCTGGTTGCTATATCTATGATTATGTATTCCTGGGGAAGGCAAGTATTGATGCTATAATTCATATTTAAGACAGAACTGTAAAACGTTGTTTGTAACCCTACAGAGCTTGACCTTCTAGCCCGCTAACATTTTCCAGTAGTAACAATGGAAACACACTGGGGTGTAATCTGCACTCCTCCTTAACTAAAAAGTCAACAGCATAAATATGACACAGCCTGCTAGGATTATCAACAGCTAGCTGAGGTGAGACTATACATTTCCAGCAGTTACCAGACCTATCGGTTACTCTTGTTAACTTGGTGCAATTCAGAGTCATCATGGAAACACTCCTTTGGGTGTGTCTATGAGGGAGTTCCCAGACATCTCTACTTGAGAAAAGACCTACACTGAATGTGGCAGGGCCACTGTGAGGGCTAAGGTGGCTGTCCAACAGGAAGAGAGCGCAGGCTGAGCAGCACCTGTGTCTTCCAGTTCTCCTCCCCTCCCGTCAGAGCGCTGACTCTCAAATCATGACCCACAGTAAACCGCCTGCCTGAAGCTGCTTTGTCACAGAAAGAGGAGGTGACACACCATACACAACAGACCCCAACCTTCCAGAGTTAACCACACGTAAAACACTACAGGGAGGAACTCAGTAGCCATACATAAACCACACTAAACCAGAATGGTGAAAAGCTGAAACAAAATAGCCTGAAAATCCTAAGTCACTCAGAGTTTTGGTAACAGATAATAAAGTATCTCTAAGAAAACATTCTCGTCAGTCTGTTTACACAATTGTATGTACATTCTTTTTTTTTCTATTATCAGCTTGATTCAGTATAAATTCTTATCCTAATAGTGAAATGTTTCATTGAGGCTTGCCCAGTAATTGAATAAAACCAAAACTTATTAACTTCTTGTATCATAAAAATACAAACCTTGTTCTTTTAACCCACAAATGTAAAATTGATGACATCTGGATTAATGAAGTGAAATATATTCACCTGGAGAAAGGAAAGCTGCCTTCTGAATGGTCTTCAAAGCAGTATTTTTTTCATCTTCTGCTGTACTGCTTCCCATGGCCAGCTGGTTTACTGCAGTATATAATAATGCCTTCTATAAAAGAAGACAAAAAGTTATCAGTTCTCTTCACATTTTTTGTGAAAACTGACTAAAGGGCCTGTATTTCATATGACACAAAATGTAAAACAATGAGGATATTATTGAGTCATTAATGCTACTTAACAAGTTAAATATTTCCTTTGTATAAGAGCAAGAACTAACCTTTCCGTGATTTGAATCCAGAATATGAGCCACAATGCCAGCTACAGCACCTCCCTATAACAAAACACAATATTTAGACAAATGGAAAGCTTTCTATCAAACTGTAAGACTAATATAATCTTTCCTTTAAATCATTCGAGGAGCTCAATTTTTAGCAAATGTGTATCTTATAAACTCTAAATATCAATGTATTATTACAGCTTTAAGATAGAAAACCTGTCTACTTTGGTCATTTCACGTTTGCTGTTGAAATACTCAAAGTTCAAAAGTAAGATGATTTTGTAGGAGCACCAAGTAAATGTATGTATTGCCTAACAATATAAAAATGCTGAAAAGGGGCTGGAGAGATGGCTTAGTGGTTAAGAGCAAAGGTTGCTCTTTCAAAAGATCCAGGATCAATTCCCAGCACCCACAAGGCAGCTCACAATTGTCTGTAATTCCAGTCCCAGAGGATCCGACACCCTCACATAGACATACACACACAGGCAAAACACCAACGCACATAAAATAAATCTAAAAAACAACTTTTTAAAAATGCAGAAAGAGAGAACAGCAGAAAGTGGAGTGAAGGATATCAAAAACAAACTAATAGAGCTTATTCTTGGAAACTATCTAGCTGTCTATCAACAGATGAACTGATAATAAAAGGCAGACAGATAGATATACAGACGAGAGATAGAATAGAATACTGTTCAGCGCTAAAGAAAAATGGAATCACAAATTTTACAGGAAAATTGATTTACTTAGAATGTCATCCTATCTCAGAAAGAAAAAACAAAACAAAGCCCTATGTTCTCCCTTATATGTGGATCCTTGTGGTGATATTGTGTCCTCCAACATATTATGCACCCTAATAAACTTATCTGGGGTCAGAGAACAGAACAGCCACTAGACAGATATAGAGGCCAGAAAATGGTGGCACACACGCCTTTAATACTATCACTTGAGAGGCAGAGATGCATCCGGATCTCTGTGAGTTCAAGGCCACACTGGAAACCACCAGGTATGATGACACACACCTTTAATCCCAGGAAGTGATGGGAAGAATCAAAAAGGTATATATGGCCTTTATACACCTTATACATAAAGACCAGGAACTAAGTTTGTTAGGCTCTTAGGCTTTTAGCAGCAGTTCAGCTGAGATCCATTCGGGTGAGGACTCAAAGGCTTCCAGTCTGAGGAAACTGGATCTGATGAGGAGTTGGCGAGGTGAGGTTGACTATGGTTGGTTTTGCTTCTCTGACTCTTCAGAATTTACCCCAATATCTGCCTCCTGGTTTGTTTTTATTAATAAGACCTTTTAGAAATCCATCTACAGATCCTAGCCTGTAATGTACACGTCTGTGTAAACAAATATACAAAACGTAGGTACAGTATAACAGATAGAAAGGATTGTATCAGGTGATGAGAAGGACAGAATACAGGGCGAGGACATGAGAGTCATGAAGAAGACTATAAAGCTAATTGTTTTTATAGTTTGAACTGTCATGGAATTTCCATGTTTTCCTGTGGTAGATGAGTGCACAGAAATGTAATGGATAGTGAAAGAGTGTGTGCTGGCTGGCTGGTCACATGACCGACACAAGTAAAATCATCTGGGAGGAGGGAGACTCAGCTAGAAAATGTCACCACAAGACTGAGCTGTAGGCAAACCTGTGGGGCATTTTAACTAGTTATTGATGGGGAGGGCCCAGCCCATTGTTGGTGGTCCCATCTTTGGGCCAGTAGTGCTGGATTCTTTAAGAAAACTGGCTGAGCAAGCCATATGGAGCAAGCCAGCACATATCGCATGGCCTCTGCATCAGCTCCCGCCTCCAGGTTCCTTCCCATTTGAGTTCCTGTCCTGACTTCCTTCAATGATTAAAAACAAATAAAGAAAACAGGCTCCTTAAGACCCCCATAATCCCTAATACTAAATGTCTGCATGTCATGAAGCTTCTGTTTCAATAAGCAAATCAATACTAAAAATAAGAAAAACATGCAGCACCAGAGTTTTGAGAGGGTCAATTTGAAACCTAAACATTTTAAATTCATTAAACATTTTACCTAAGAAAAAAAGTGAAATTATAAGAATGATTTCACCAGGCATGGTAGTTCATGCCTATAATCCCAGCACTTAGAATCCCGAGGCAGAAGGATTGCCATGAGTTCAAAGCCACTTTGGACTATATAGTGAGTTCCATGTCAGCTTGGGCTGTGTGAGATTCTGTCTCAAAAATAACAACAGCAAACACAAAGGTTTTTCATCACAGGTATTTTACACCTTGCATTTCATTTCAAATTGTAAAATACAAATGCTAAAACAAAGTTTTAGAAGTATGTCAATATAAAATAAAGGCTGATTAAAAGGAAAGGCAGGATAGCAGAGTGGGATGATTCCAGAGTTGGAGTGGAATTGAATACCATCACCCATCAACAACTGCTCCAGAAACTAAACAGTAACTACAGAAACTTCACACTATTGTTAATTAAAATACACACCCATGTGTAGCAGAGTAACTCACGCATAATGAGTACTTCACTCAGTGTCCAACAGTTAACAGCTTTTGAGCCAATACATCCACTGAAACAGCTTAAACTCTACTGCTCAAATGGCCTCTGAATCAGAAGCTGGACATGCCCTGGGCTGTTAGATGATTAGCCCTGTTAATTATCACCTGCATTTAATGGTGTTATTAGGTGATGTCAACAAACAGCACGTTAACATTTGAACAGCACTGGGATAAAATATTTTAAAAACACATTCCTAAAATTTTAGTATGGAATAACTGACAAGCAATGAAGGTTTTTCAGGCTCAAACTGAAAGTTAAAAAGGCAGAAGGAGTTGGGAGATCATTTATGTCACTTGTGGATCCCAATATGGGGCTCATAAGGCAGTGGGACAAGTCCAGGACTCACACAAGGAAGGTGTATACAGGAGACCTCAGAACATGCTGAGCACTCGTGCACCATTCTCAAGTGACTTGAGACCCAGACACAGAACGCCCTGGTTAATACAGAATCCCAGGTTATAAATGCAGCTGCCAACACAGCTCACAAAAACAACAGAAAGTCTTTCATATGAAATTATTTTAATCCTAAGGTTCAAGTTGGGTCTACAAATAATGTTGTAGAAGATACAGTCAGGAAAACAAAGAAATAAAACAACCTCGAGTGAAATCAGTAAGAACAATGAACAATAAAAACACATCTACAAAGACTGACACTTTGAATCTTACTTAGAATCACTACTAAATAAGTGATCAAGATGATATTTTTCTAAATAAGTGATCAAGACAAATTATCTGATGCTATTGTTTGCCACCCACTTAACTGGACAAAGAGAGAAAATATTCATAGCAGAAAATAATGAAATATAGATACCTGAAAATATCTTGCTCTTACAACTAAAATATAGTATATAATTCTTTACTAAATGTCAATAAATTCATGCTTATAATGAGATTTTTATACATTAGCAGTATTTGTATTATTATCTTATCTTTAAACAGTTTTAAATAAAATTATCTTTTGAAATTTAAAAACCACAATCACTAATACTTATTTGTTACTTATTCACACAGGGATTTGAGATAATCTGTTCATTTTCAGAACAAAAGGATCTTCCTTCTTTGTAGTGTCCACAATGCTCAGAACTGTTTCATAAATACATGGAGGGTGCTCAGTCTAGTATTTGTGTAAACAGGAATTTGATTAAATGATGACATTCTCTTCATCATACTTACTATATTTTTAGAAAAATGCTATTTTTTAAATATATATTTAAGGTGGGTGTGATGGCTGATGCTGTTAATCCCAGCACTCAAAAGGAAAAGGCAGGCAGAGTCTCTACATCTGTGAGTCCTGCCTGGTCTACATACAAAACTGCAGGCCAACCAGAGCCACAGAGCATTCTCTAGCTCTCTCTCTACCTGTGTGTGTGTGTGTGTGTGTGTGTGTGTGTGTGTGTGTGTAAATGTATATACATTTGTATAAATATACAATTGTATATATGTATTTAACACCACAGGCTACTCACTTGGCAGGATTTTAGACATTACTCACCCTTGCATTCCGTTGAGTATACTGAGCAACAACTCGGGACAGCAAAGACCAAAGAGCAGGGTCAGCAGGGTTACTAGAGAGAACAACAAAAAAAACGCTAGTCCTAAAGTCAGGATTTACTGCGGACTCCGTTGGCAGAGGTGCGGGTGAACCTCCCCGAGAACACGAGCATCAGAGGTCGGAGAGATCTGGCCCTGCTCCTCATCTGCCATCTGGTGGTATGGGCAGGGAAAGAAGAACCCCCCTCCAATCCCTCACCCCACCCCTCTCAGCCTGAGGCAGATGGGAGAGCTGGCCCTGCCTCTCACCAGCTGCTAAGTGGCCCCTGTACCTTTCCTGGGCAACACAGTAGAACTGGCCCTGGTGTTGCAGGTGTGGGTGAGCTGGCCCCAAGGGCATAAGTGCAGGAGAACCGGCCGCCCCTTGCTGCTTATGGCATTGGGAGAGCTATCTGAGGCAGTACTGGAGAGGATGGTGAGGATGAGGGAGAGCTGGCAGGCTGACCAACCCTGCAACCACTCAGGCCCAGAACCAGGCCTATGAGTTGGCCCACCCCAACATCTACCTCATTTGTGATCTGCTGGGGCAAGTGAAAAAAGCCTGACCCACAGACCCAAAACTGAAGGATCTCCATGACACAGGACAACAACAGGATATCCAAGAAGAACCCCTGTGAGGGACCAGTACCAACAATGTAGCAGAAACCAGAGGCCTCAAACCAGACCAATGACTCATTGCAATGAACACTTGCAAGTAAAGATTTATGGACTAAAGGGTAAAGTGTGTGACTCACTGTGTCACACTATAGCTTCCATGATGAGATTTTTCTTTTCTTTTAAATTTTATTTTGTTTTATCTTGGGGGTGGGGGATTGCAAGGGCAGAGGGCAGATATGAAGGGACAGGGAGATGAGTGGGATTGAGCTGTATGATATGAAATCCACAAAGAATCAATAAAAAGTTAAATTAGAAAAAAAAAAAGTAAATGGGACTACTGTGTTCTTTTCTCTCATATGATGAGAAAGAACACTATACTGATTTGAATGTCTTAGTCCTCACTCAATATGCTATTTAAAGAATGCTGGATAAAGCCAGATGGTACATAATTAGTTTTGATTAATAAAATACAGGCTGCCGGATATTTCATAAAGAAAAAAAATGGGGGTTACTTTAACCATTAACAAGCACAGCAAGTATTTTAAGTTTAAAAACCTTTAGACACCTAAGCAAGCTCATATTAATTGCTCACATTTAACTGAAAATGTCTTAAATTTTAGGAAACATACTATACTATCTTCTACAAACACCAAGAGTTCTTATGTTCTTAAAACCTGAAGAAAAACAATATCATGGTCACAAAATCATGAGAAAAATAGTTAAAATGTAGCGTGTGTTCAACAGAACTACAAAGAAATTTAAAGGCACTCTATTATGCAGCAGGAGGATGTAACTAAGAGAAATAATTCATATGGAATAAACTTCATATTAATTTTTTAAAATTTCACAGGAGAGATAAGGTACTTAACTCTGACCTGAATTTGTGCTTCTCGACCTTCCTAATGCTTCAACCTTTAATATAGTTCCTCATGTCATGGTGACCCCAAACCATACAATTATTTTTGTTGCTACTTCATAACTGTAATTTTGCTACTGTTAGGAATTGTAATGTAAATATTTTGGAGTTAGAGGTTTGCCAAAGGGGTCACAACCTACAGGTTGAGAACCGCTGATCTCTGTGAACTCGTAACCATATGGTTAGTAGAGAAATGACTTCCAAAAATTGTCCTCCTATCTCACAAGTACAGGCTATAGTACATGTATACTTACCCAGACAAAAATAAATGTAATAAAAATTTAATGTATCTAATCAACAAAGGTTATTAATAAGAATAAATGATTAAAAAAAAAGAAATTTAAACTACAACATATGAAAACAGAAAACTGCTGTTACATGACATCTTTTTATCTTCCCCTCAGATGGCACTTCTTTGTGTAGCCCTGGCTGTTCTGGAACTTGCTCTGTAGACCAGGCTGGCCTTGAACTCAGAGAGATCTGCCTGCCTCTGTTAAATGATATCAAAGGCACTGATCAACATTTAAGTGACTAAGAATTCCTAAATCTATCAACATGGTCTGCATCGACATACAGCAGATGATGAACTGATAATATTATAAACGTAGGAATTACAGACTTTTGTATCAAAATATGTGGAGCTTCACCTGAATAAAGGAAAAACTCATCAACTCACCAAAATAACTGACAATATGATTTCCAAATAGAGTCTCATAGTTCGTTCTAAGTCACAATGAAGCCCAGACTTGAACATACTCCTATCGAATACGCCGTCCCCACACTGAGGACTCACCTGTGGACAGCCCTGGATGCCTGTCTCTGCACCGCCCCGCCGCGGCCCTGCAGGGCATACACTGCTGCAGTCAGGAGGCATCTGTGGTAACTGTCTTTGTGTGGAACGTGCTTCAGGAACTCGTTAAGCGCTGCTTTGGACAGCGTGGCGTCCTGCATTGCCAAGCCCAGAGCGCACAGGGCTTGAAGGCTTTCTGTGGTTGGTTCCTTTAAAATAGAGCTGCAAATAGGTATTTAGTAGTCTGTTGGCCATTAGTACAGAGGTCTTATATCTATTGAGAGGCTTTATTTAATAAAAAAGATACCTACTTAAAGATTCATCAAAATAAGTCAATTTGTGCTTAAATATATATATTTTTTTACATTTAAAGATAATTATCTGACTGGAGCAAAAATAATATCAGCCTTTCACAGCATAAATTGACAAATCTCATCTCAGGTCATTACGTCTAAATTTTAGAAACAAATAAAAATTGGCCTCTTTGATTCTCAGTTTTAGGACTAAAGAGAACAATTTCAGAAAATGTTTAGTTGAAATAAAATTCTATTTTTGTTAAAGGAAAGCAGAAGATGGCAGATTAGAAACTCCAGTCCTCTCCTTTGTCTCCTCACACTGAACTAAGGCTGCTTCATGGAGGGACAGCGTTGCCGAAAAGTACATCAGCAAAAGTACAGTTCTGGCAGGACCAGGCAAAGGCTAGAAGCACCAGCTTTCGGTAGAGGACCACCCAAGGCACGCTAGGTAGCTGGTAGGGAGGCGGATCTCCTTCCCAGAGGAGCTACAGCGGAGACTGATGAAGTCCCCAGAACCTGACCTTGCACACTTACAGTTCAAGAGAAAAGGAGACCTAGGTCCTACTAGGGCTGGCATTTGGAGAAAGGGTTCTCTGGCCTTCCCAGCAAAGTCAGAGAGAGGGCTGTAAGTGGAAGCCATTTTCAGAAAGGTCCTATCATTTTCCCTCACAGCTTAGAGGGTCAGAAACCTCTCCATTTTTGTGTCCAAGGCCCTCTTCTCATTATGGCTCATCAAACAGTCAAGGACAGTGCAGGCCAGGGAAGAGATTTCCAGTGTAACAGAAGTCCGTCCCTCTGGGGTTGAGGGAGCAGTTAACAAGGCGATGTTTTCCTTGTCACAGTAACTGACAAGTCTACTATTCCTGCAAGATGGTGGGACTATACTTCCTGCACTGCGGAGGGTTGGGGGGTGGGTGTCTGTCCTATGAGGAGCTGCACCATTCAAAAGGTCAATAAACCTCACTGGCCAGCACTGTCCAATAGCCTGTATTAATCATCCACTGCTCTTAGAGGAATTACAGCCAACTTTTAAAAGAAAGCAAACAGGCTTTAAGAACTCAACAAGTACTATCTAAATAACTCCACCATCATAGGTTCTCATTTTAACTTGTTCTGAAACCAGTATATACGTTCTATAGGTATCTTTAAAGACGTCTTTAAATAAACTTTTTTCTGAGGAAAAAGACCTGAGGATCTGAGCAACCAAACACCAAGTCAGTTACAATTCCGTTTATTGTCTGTGGTCCACATGGTCACTTATTCTTGAAAACAAATAAGTAGTATTAGACAGAGATACAAAGCAATGAATTAAGCCATGGTGTTTAACTCTACCCATGACTGTCAATTTAGAACAAGGTAGGTCCAGTTCCTTCCATTTACTTAGAAGTTCCTTTTCAGCTCTTATCTCAAACATAAGGATCTGATGTATAAGTCATCTATACATACCATTTGAAAAGCAGTGACTTGGCTGCATCCATTTGTCCTTGTTTGTATTCTGTTATTGCCAGAGCTGTCAAGACATGAGCTTTGTCTTGCTCTGATTTAACAACAGTCAAGGCTCTCTCGTAGGCTATTGCATAAGAGAAGGGAAAAGCAAGCAAAACACAAAAGCAATTCTATTAACAAATGAGCCACTTTCCCCTTCCTAATGCCATTTTTCAAAAAAGATCTAGCGAAAATTCTACCTTCCTTATTCTCTTCTTCCCAAGCAGACAGTTTAGCTATTCCCAAGTGATTCTGGGGGCACCTTCATGATTGTTAGGGGACAATCCCTACCTTCTGCCTGCAGAATATACTCTGAGGTCTAAGTCATCTTAAGTAGAAAAGGAACTTGGAAACACTGATATATAATCACATTCCAACTGCAGATCATCACCTTCACCAAGCAGATAATATCTGAGTGCACTGTACACATAGTGGTGGAGCGCATACATATCAGAATTCCCTCAGGTAAAATTTTTGAAGAAATAAATATCTATTACTAACAAAAGTTGTTTTCACTTATCAAAAAATTTCATTTAAGCGTACAGAATAGCAAGTACCTGCTTTCAAATGTGTGTGTGTGCACGTGCGTGCGTGCGTGCGTGTGTGTGTATCCACCAATAAGCCTGCACCTTAGTCTCCTCAAATGTACAGTGAATGCTCAGTTCAAATTGTTTATAAGGAGTACTCAACATCACAGCACACTGTGAGATGACACATAAACAAAGCCTACTACAGCTCCTGACTCCCAGTCATATTTTAGTAAACACTGCAACCCCAGGGCTACAGAATGGCTTAGCAGCTAAGAGCACTGGCTACTCTTCCAAAGGATCTAGGTTCAATCTCCAGCACCCACACACAGCTCACAACTGTCTGTTACTCCAGTTCTAGGGAATCCCTCTTCTGGCCTCCAAGGACATCAGGTATACAATCTTCAACTGACATATATGCATCCATCCATATAACATTTTAAAAATACTGCATCTCCATCAAAATTCCAACATTACATTTTTCTGAAAAAGCTTCAAGCAATGATTACTTGCCTTTGTTGCTCTCCTTATACAGGCCCTTCATAAACAATGCCAATGCGAAACCTATGATGTCCTCCAGCTCCTCAAGGGGCGTTGACTTAAAGGCCTGGATAGCTCTGTCATAGTCACCAAGGGAACTAAGAAGAAAGCACAACTTATGTTTAAGATAAAATCACAAATCTTGGTTTTATGAAGATATACAGACATAAAGATTTCTGAGATTCTTGTTTCTAGTATTTATCACTATAATCCAAAAGGTTTTTATAAATGTTACTGAAATATTGTTTATAAAAGCACTTTAATCTTTGAAGCTGTAAGTTAAAAACACAAGCAACCTTTGCTCCTAATACTAGTTTTATAAAGGTGAAAAAATAAAAACTTAAGCTCTAGTTTTGAAAGAAGGCTAGCCTTTGATGCAAGTGGATTGTTTGTAAATATGTGCATGTTTATTTCTTCAAATGAAAACTCTTTTCGGATATGCAGAAGAAAAATGAAGGAAAGGGAGTGAGGGGACTTCGGCTTTATGGCTTTTTCTTTGAAATGGAAACCTGAAGCAAACTGACAGAATTTTAATGTGTTATATTTGAGCGGTGACATATGGTAAATACAATTTATTATTTACCATATGCCTCTGTGTTTAAGGTATTGTATAATAAAAACAAAAAAGTGATGAAAAGCATAGATTGCTCTTACAGAGGAGCCCAAGCCAGTGCCCACCTAAACTAGGTGACCCAGGGCTCCAGTGCTCTTTCTGGCTTCTGTGAGCGTCAGGCACACACATGTTGCACATACATACAGACACATGCACGTGAAATAAAAATAAAACTTTTTTAAAAGAAAGAATATAGATGGCAATTTTCTATAGAAAGTAAAATTTTCTTCATAAATATTTACTCTATATGAAATGTCAAACCTAAGAAGATAAGCTGAAATTTCTTACTCTAGGTGTTCTCTGCTTCAACAAAATCTACAGGGTTCTACCAACTCCTAAAATGTAAGTTTAAAAGATCCATAGGCAATCAGAGGAGTAATATTTCCCCATCAATGAACTTGATTAAATGACAGTGATAACAGGAAGGAACTAGCTACCTCATGCCTCCTTGGCAGTACCTAAAAGATGTCGAGGGTTGGGGATTTAGCTCAGTGGTAGAGCGCTTGCCTAGCAAGCACAAGGCCCTGGGTTCAATCCTCAGCTCAAAAAAAAAAAAAAAAATGTCGAGACTGAACCCTAAAATACCCAGCTGCAGTTCCATTCTATACTAACCATTCAATTTTAGGGCAACTCTAAAACTAAGGAATCACCCTGTTAGTCAAAATCCTTCTTCCTATGTAGTAGAATATTATTTTAAGATGTGTTACTTTCATTTATGTTGCATTTGTTTAACTCTGTAAGCTGTGTTACTGTGCCTGTCTAAAACACCTGACGATCTAATAAAGAACTGTCCAGTAGCAAGGCAGGAGAAAAGATAGGCGGGGCTGGCAGGCAGATTAGATATAGAAGGAGAAAACTGGGAGGAGATAAAAAAAGATCTAACAGCTAGAGGAGGAGGAGGACAACTCCAGGGCCCAGCCATCCATCTACACAACCAACAAGCCATGGAGTAAGAGTAAGATTTACAGAAGTTAGAGAACAGGAAAAGCCCAGAGGTAAAAGGTAGTTGCGATAAGCTAAGACAAGGAAAGCTGGCTAGAAAGTAAGCCAAGCTGAGGCTGGGCATTCATAAGTAAGAATAAGCTTCCATGTGTTATTTATTTGGGAGCTGGGTGGCAGGCCTCCCAATAGACCAAAGACCAACCAACAACATTGCTATGCATCTATACTCTGGCTTTACTTCTACCCTCTAAACAATAAGCCTGTCTGTCTTTCTAGGCCAAAAGACTTAAGAGAATCGAAGGGAAGATCTTAGCTCCATTGTCCTGAACTTTTTAGTACTGTTTCAAAGAAGCTCCTAGACCATAATATTCCATAGCGAATCAGAATAAACCCAACTCCCCAACTAGTTAAGTAGGCTTCTATTAGATAAAACTACCATCTCTCTCTCAAGTGTTCCTCTATCTGGTCCCTAAAGCATAGGCTCCAACTTCCCTCTTCACAAGGTACTCAGGCTAGGTTTTAAGGGTAAGAAATTTTAACACATTCTGGCCCTTGGAATAATATATTTCAGTGCTCTGGACACTAGTCTTCACACCTGTAGGGTCACAATTTTCCCTGAAAAATAGATTCACAGAATGAGAAAAAAATAGCCTTACCATAACAATCTGCCCCAGTTTCTCACTGTAACATTGTAAGCATGTTGGTCTTCTGTGGACTGTAACAGTGCAGTTGCCCTTTAAAAAAAAAAAAAGTATTTTAGATTCTCTATGTGGAACGTTTTGTTTTGCTCATTCCTCCTCAGCCAAATCCATGGACTTATATAGTCTTTTCTTTCAATTCTATGAATTCTTTGATGTTGTTTAGGCAGCTTATTTATATTCCAGTAAGTTGATACCACAAAGGCACTTAAATATATGTAAATTTTAAGTTGTCAATAAAAAAAATTTTTTTCATAAGTAAAGCTATTTATTATTGCATGTAAGTTGTAAATATTTTAACATTTGTAATCTAAACATAGACAATGACCATATCAATGTTATATTTTGACACACCAAAGTTTTCAGAAGACACCCTTGAAAATATTTATGTAGAAGGGAGAAAATTGAATGCTTTTATGTGCTCTGAGGCTGTCCCCACAGAAACACTAAAAGACAATGCACTAAGGTGAAAGATCCTTAGGTTTAGAATACATTTACCAAGAACTAAAGCCACCATTTTCTCCCCCCACTGTGTTCTCCATAGGCAAGGAGGGAAATGTCCTAAAAGCTAAGAGCTTTTTTAATGGTTTCTTTCTTTTCTCTTTAAAGACATCTGCCAAGAGAAATATCCAAGAAAGGCTTTTTATCTACTTGATGTTGCATAAAAAAAAAAAACAATTTGCTCAGGAAGCATAAAAATGCTAGAGGTGTGTGAGAGCAGAAATGGCCCTGTTCCCTGCTGCCTGGGGCATTGGGTGAGCTAGCTGGGGCAATGCTGGAGAGCTCACCCTGGTGGTGAGGATAAGGGACAGCTGACAGGCTGACCAACCCAGCTATCACCCAGGCCCAGAACCAGGGCTATTAGTTATCCCACCCCAACATCTACCTCATCTGTGAACCACTGGAACATGTGTAGGGACCAGTCCTGCAGATCCAAAGCTGCAGGTGGGCAGCAAGAGGATATCAAAGAGGAGTGGATCCAGTCAGTATTGGTGGTAGTGGAAGCCTCAAACCAGACCAATGACTCATTGCAATGAACACTTGAGAGAAAAGATGTATGAACTAAAAGGTACACTGTGTGACTCACTGTGACACACTACAGCTTCCACACTGAGATTTTTTTGCTTGGTTTTGTCTTTACTTTTTAAATTTTATTTCGTGGGGGAGGTTACAAAGTCAGAGGGCAGATATAAAGGGACAGAGAGATGAGTGGAATTGGGGTGCATGATGTGAAATCCACAAAGAATAAATAAAAAGTGTAAAAATGTTACAGAAATTAAAAAACTACACTTCTGGTTGAATTTATGCACTGCTTGTGTTTCAAGCAGCAAATATCGTAACATACAGCCCAGCTGCTGTGGTCAGTACATATTCCTCTGTGGCTTAGAGTTGCCACGCTAAGCCTGCGGTACAGTGATGCCAGTTCAGCATGTCTGCAATACAACAGCGCACACAACGGGAGCCAACACCCCAAGCTCTCTTGCTTTATGTGTTAACTATTATATTCTGCATTTTATTTACTGTAAGTTTACTGACATTCTGAGAAGAAAAGTGTGCTTTTTTTATAAACCTTCTTCCATGACCTGGAAAAATAACTTCATTACATAGCCTCCAGTACCATCTAGCGATTATTCCCTTGAACTACATGGCAATCCACAGAGGGATGTAGTTAAGTATTTAACTTAACACTTTTTTTACACCTGACACTTTCTGAAGATTCACTTACATTTGAAGCAGTGGTGTGCGTGAAAGTTAGGCAATCAGCTCTTTCAGAGTTACGAGTAAGTTACTCATGACATCAGTAGTTATTCTCATATCCACCCACCATTACCGTATGGAGAAAAAACTAGCTGCTTTCATTTCTTACCAGTCTCCAGGCTATCACTCCACTCTAGTACACTGGGGTTTTGTTTGTTAAATATGGCAAACTACTTGTTTGGGAGGACTTCTCTCACTCTATCTGAAATGCATCTTCGCATATTCTCTGACCCTAAACACTACTCTAACTCTTCCTTAGCAACTGTCAGTAGCCAGGTATTCTTAGTTTATTGAGTACTTCTCATTGAGGAGTTCCATGAGTACAGGGCCTCTGTGTGTTGTAATTCCTTGACAAATTTCTCATGCCAAGGACACTGCTTGGCACATAGTATCCAACATTTACTGACATGAATAAATACGTAACAGATAATAAGGTGAGTCAAGCAGATATTCATGTTGTTTCTTGTCTGACTATAGGGACAGCTTTTTCTAAAACAGAATCTTTGAAGTTTTGTTTTGTGCCTTCTCTGTTCTCCACACCCTAACCAAGCGTGGAACTCCATCTTCACCGTCCACAAGGTGACACGATGAGGTCTGGGGAAGGGGTGAGACACCACATTAGTACTGCTGTCACGAGACCAGACTTCAGTACTGACAACACAGTGAGCGACGCCCACTGAGCACACCTACCTTTGGTATGCCTCTGCTGCTTCCCTTCTCAGCTGCAGAAGTTCATTTAAATAACCCAGCATTGTGAAAGCTGGAGCGTCATTCTGAATTCTTTCTGGAAATTCACAAATATCTTTAATTTGTATGTGTATACACACACAAATAACAGTTCATTTCTTTTTGTTTAGCATCTCAAAGCAGGGGATTACCTATTGAGATTAATGGTATTAAGAATGAAGGCCTTGAGCTGGGCGGTGGTGGCGCACGCCTTTAATCCCAGCACTTGGGAGGCAGAGCCAGGCGGATCTCTGTGAGTTTGAGGCCAGCCTGGGCTACCAAGTAAGCTCCAGGAAAGGCGCAAAGCTACACAGAGAAACCCTGTCTCGAAAAACCAAAAAAAAAAAAAAAAAAAAAAGAATGAAGGCCTAATTTATCTTGAATATACCAGTGATCATTTGATAATTCTTCTAAATCACCAAATAATATTAAAGAATTATATGTGGTTTCTAGTTATATTTTACAGTTTAAACATGTTTTCTTTAAGTCCTTGGAACACACATTTCTAAATAGGATGTCTGCATCAAATGCCTCCCCTCAGAGCTCAGGGAACCCTGCAGAAGAAGAGGCAGAAACAGTGTAAGAATCAGAGGGGATGGAGGACACCAGAACAAGGCCCTCTGAATCAACTAAACAAAGCTCCTGTGAACTCACACAGACTAAAGCAGCAAGCACAGGGCCTACAAGGGTCTACAACAGGTCCTCCGTATACACATAATAGCTTTCAGATTAGTGTTCTTAAGGGACTCCAAAGTGTATGAATGATTAGGTCTCTGGTTCTCGTGCCTGTTCTTGGGGCTCTTTTCCTTCTGTTGGGTTGCCTTGTCCAGCCTTGATATTATAGTTTTTGCTTTATCTTAATATACTTTATTTTTTCATGTTTGGTTTAAAATAAACAAACCAAAAAAACCTCCATGTTTTCTTTTAAGTAAAATTATTTGAAATTTTAACTCAGTAAAACTAGTTCTGACATTTATAAAGAAATCCAGGTTTTTGCAATTTTTTATTAGTTCCTAAAGAATTTCATATAATTTTCTGGATAATCTTGTGATTTAATTTAGTAACAATTTTCTCATGGTGCTTCTATTCAAAACTATATGTTCTAAAAAAATAATCCAGTACTTCATGCCAGGAACAGAGAAATGGATCTGGGCACTTTCAATATAGTATTTTCCAATTTTTTATGTTGAAAGTGCATTATATATCTACACTGTCAAAGAAAAACATACTTTACCTAGTTACTTAAAGCTAGTATTAAAGAGCAGGCTTTCATATCCCTATGATGTTTAACAAATACACCACAAATACGAATCTTACGTCACAGCTGGGATTCTAACACTAGAGTATAACTTGTATAAGTATAGGGTATGTGACTAACATCATGGTCAAAGTCAGTCTCTAAACACTAAAAGTCACTGTACAAGATCAGAAAACCATCAATGGAGTTAGAAGCTCCATCCGCCATGGTATATCAATGCAAACCAGTAGGACAGACAGGGATGGTCTACATCCTCTCATCAGTCTCCCTGTTTTCTGCTTTGTTAGTATTTCTGGCCAAGCATACAGCATTTACAGGAGTCTATGAAAATGGTTCCACCATTTAAAAAACAGCTATCACATTTGTTAAAAAAAAAGTGTTCATGATTTTAGATATCTGCATTTTAATAAAAGATTTACCTCTTTATGTACATCGTCTAAGTTACTTATAAAGTCAGGAAACTCATGAATAATGTTTCTAAGTAGACACTTCCTCATCTCTGGGGATTTATCAGTGTCCTTCGCATCAGCATACTGCAATAGATGACAATGTCCCAGGATGCTGATGCCAGTAAACTTATTAACTTCTTCCCGAGTGACTCAAACTAAATGCACAAGAGAACTGACTTCTCAATACTTGGGCTGAACCATTTTTACTTCATATTATTCAGCTGCTGGTTTCTTTTATGACTACCCCTGCCAAGAACTCATCTTAATACTTATCACAACTCCAATCACTACAATCCTAAGTAGCAGGCACTTTCCCTCTTCTATCACAGGTAAGAACCTAAAATCCACTTGTACAGTATGCCCAAGGACTCAAAAATGACAGAGACTCAGTGGTGGTTTATTTTATAAGACAGGAAATTATTACCAGGGAAAGTTAATAAACTTCAGCATTGTGCGGGTTTCCTAAGTGTGTGTGTGAGTGAGTGTGTGTGTATAATTTTTTTTTTTGCAGTATCTTACAAGATAATCAGGAGTTAATAGGAGAAGTTAGATCACTAGGTATGCATTTGGCATCTCATATATATTATCTTATCTAATTCTCCTAACTATCTCCTAACCTGGGAATTGAGATCTTCCCTCCCCAGAAATGAAACACAAGTTAAGGGAAATAAAATATCTGGTCTACAAACTGAAGTGGAAGTACACAGAGGAGCAATCGCAGCAGCACCTCAGAACCATTAACCTTTGACACTCCTACATTATTACACGGAAATCTTGACTCGGTAAGTAATAAAGTGAGTTTCACCACTCTTCCAGAGACATTATCCTGATGTAAAATTGCACTCCTTCCAAGTAGCAACAAAAAGGCAAATTAGCATCTGAAAGAACTGGTATTTAACATGAGATGGGTAAATTAAAAATTAAACTACTTCAGCAGTCTGATAATGCACCACATATGATCGGTATCTTAGCTACAATGTATTTACACATTTCAGTAGTCTGATATTTTGCCACATACAGTAAGTATCTTACCCACATATTTACACAGAACACCCTGTGCCGCAGGGACAGCGTTCATCTGGAGGATGTTGTACTTGTACAGCTCTGTTTCTCTGTTGCTTTTGTCTTGTAATGTTGTACAAACCCAATATGCATAACCTATGGCACCTTCAGTCTTGAAAAAACAAGTAAACGTATGATAAGTATTTTAATAAAACTAAGAAATAAAATATTTCAATAACAATAGTATCATAGCTTAATCTTCTTTAAAGTGCCTTTAACAAAAGGCAGCCATGATTAAAAACAACAACAAAAGCCTGTTGAAATCAATTTAAAATTTAAGTTCTCTAATCCTGAATAGAATTGAATACAATAAAAAGTAGAAAACAGAGACTTGCCAGATGAGCTGGTTTTCCCCTTATCAGACCATTTCCACAGGCTAAACCAAACTAATTCAATGTCTTTTCAGAGTCTAGATTATCAACTAAAGCCATTCTTCAACTCATGTCTATTTTTTCTTATATTCTCAATTTCTCTTCCACAATACTCTTATTACATGTACTAAATCTCAATGTGGAAGACTGGAGAGATGGAGAGACGGCTCAATGGTTAAAAACTCTGGCTGCTCTTCCAGAAGACCCAGACCCAATCCCCATCACCCACATGAGAGCTCACACCTGTCTGTAATTTCAGTCCCAAGAGCGCCAATGCCTGCTTCTGGCACCATGGACATCAGACACATACTTGGTGCACAGACAGACATGCAGGCAAAACACCCATACCCATAAAAATAAATAAATAAAATTTGTAATCTCACTGTTATTTTTCATCAGCTTGAACACTGAAAATGAAAATAAGAAGTTCTAGGTAAAGATAATTTATCTGCTTCTAAGACAGAGTAGAAACAATAGCTATCATTAACATTTTACAGCACTTTATACAACTATGCCACTGTTTGTTTCTTTTTACTTTTTATTTCTGGTGTTGGTTTTTTGAGACAGGATTTAATGTAATTCAGGCTGATCTCACGCTTGCTCTGTATCTGAAGATGACCTGACCCTCCTGCCTCCATCTCCTGAGTGCCGCCTCTCCCAGTCTCTACTCCCTTTCTCAAGAAGAACATTCAGATTCTTACATGCATACTTAGCTCTGTAGTGTGCCTGAAGAGATCCATGGTGTCATAACTTCCAACTGTCTCTGCAATAAGAGCCTATTGAAAGGATTTTTGAAAGTTTTAATTAATTTAAAAGAAATAAAAGTAACGGTAATAAATTGCTCTAGAATAAGCAGAGATTTACTAGTCATGCTTCAAAGTTAGGTTTAACTTTCAGTGCTACCATTTTTAACTATGCCTGTGAGTTGTGCCCTGAGAGAATGACTTTTAAGAACAAAATACTTTCAAATAGAAAACATTTTACACTATGATATTTCCTAACCTAGAACAACACAAAGTACCCTGGAAATCCTCCTCATACGATTCTGACCTCAGACAGAAATGCAAACTTCAGTGCTCCCTGTCCAATAACTGACACAGCGGACAGTACAGCAACGCCCTGCTCCCGTGTGCCACTGTACCTAACAGGACAGGAAACTGCTGGCTATCTCTGCTTGCCCCACAGTCAACTGGAATTACACTAAGATACAGATGCACAGTGAGACATACTTCATCTTTGACATGGTACCTAATCTTTCTGATACATGCTCCTACTGTTGCTGAACCACTTAGCAATCCATTAATATTCTCAACTAGACAAGGCATTCAGTATTTCAGGTGATATGACTAAGGCAAAATAATCAGTGATAGATTAATTAACCTGATTCTATCTGGCAGTGCAAAAATCTAAACATGGTCAAAGAGAAAATATTCATAAGTGCATAACCGAGTATGAAGACATTATAGAAAATTACAAAACAATAGCCAAAATGATCTTTGCAAATGTACATTGTCTTTGCAAATGTAAGTTTAATAAGAGTTCTAGGTTTATTTTTTTTTTTTAGGCAAAGGTAATAATCAGATTCATGGGATTCAAAGTTTAATCCCTGCCAACTGTGACACAATATTTAGTATGCTTGAGTTTACATTTCTATATCTTTAAAAAGAGTGTAACAATAGTGACACCTCAAAGGATTGATAACAGATTAACTAAAATATTCCTTGCAAAGACCTAAGCAAAATGACTAGCATGCAGTAAGTTTTCAAATGATACATGTAATGCTATCATTATCACTAATATAAGGTTATTTTATATTGATGTTTATTAATAAGTGTTATCTTACTTGTCCAATCCAGCACAATAAATAAGATGGGTCAAGGGACTGAGCCATTTTGAAAGCTTCATGAGCTTGCTAAGCAAAAAAGCAGGAAAATATCACATGAAGCAATCTCATAAATTTCAACTGTTTAAAAAGCATAAAATAAGAGAAGTCAAACATGTCATGAATATACACAAATAAAAATTTCATTGTTCAACCTGGATACAATGTTTTAGTTACAGTCTTAGAATAATGCTGTGTGCAACAGATTTCCTTACGGATTAAGAGTTCTGGTCCCCTGCAAAATAATACTATAGGTCTCTATCACCTAGTCAGCAGAACTTTTAAATAATCACATACTATATGCTAACTACATGGGAAAGAAATGATTCAATAAGGCTGAATCTATTCCCCTTTTTTGAGAGACTTAAGAACTCACAAGCAATGAAGCTGGAGCTGTGGACCTGCTGCTGGAAAAAGAGGTCAACAACACAAGTCTTCAATAGCAGTGAAGAAACATTAAAGAGACCTCTCCTGAGTCATAAGCTCATATGCTCTCCGCTTGAAAAGAAACAACAACAAAAGCACTTACTCCTACTGCGTTCTACTGTTTCAGGACAAGTCATGGGTGTGAGGAAAGAGATGCTTCTAGGAAGAAGAAAGCTCCTGAACAACACTTGTGTCCAGTGCTCCTGAGACTCAACCTAGGGCCTTTCACACATCTTCGGTTCTAGTTTAAGGATTTCTTCCAGTCTATTTACAATCTTCCAAAGCTGATCATTTTTACAGTGAGTAATTAATGTATTGTCAAGAATATTATGGAAGGTTTTTTGTCAAAGGATAAGATTCAGCACACTGACTAAACCAAGAAACAATAAAGATGTGGCACTATGTCTAGACTTGTGGAAACTTCCCAAATATGGCCTATGAACACAATCCTAGGTACTAGGTTCCAGCTGCTCAACTGGGAGGAATTCCACTAGGATATTTAAAGGCAGTAATATCTGCTGAAGCCAAAATCTAAATCACAAAACCAAAGGTTAAATTTAAGATATTAAAAAATACTAATTGTCTCTTTTACCTCTACTCATGCAGACTAAACACTGCATACAAAGAACTTATATTGATATTGTTGCCAAATTCATTAATAAGAGAATTGTTTTCACCTATAAAAGAAGTTTTCACTTCTTTTTACATTGTTTTCACTACGTAAAGAAGCTGAAGTAAGATGATGGCTACTAAAGCGTGAGTTCAAGGCCAGTGTGGACTACACAGAAAGATGCTGTCTTGGAGAAGAAAAAAGTATACATAAATATAAAACCAGAAGTTCCACGGAAGGAAAAAATCAACATTACATATTCATTACTTAACATAATAAAACAAACATCATCAATTAATTGGCATATTTGACATACTGGATAGATAATACATTAATATTTCTCCACAAAGTCACATGTAGAAAATATCCTTCATTTTTAACATACTGAAACTGATAATGATACCTCGATGTTTTCGGTCGCAAGGTATAGCACTCCTAAATTGGTCCATGCAGCAGCATTCTAAAAGATATATTAAAAAACAGGCCTCATTCAGAGAAGCTTCTTTTTGTAGTGTGAAGCAGTTAATGCAAAGACTCGTAGCTGGTCAAAGTGCCCAGCCCTACATAGGACATCAGTATCAAGCCCTCAAGGCTCAGGAGATACCTCAGAGGACAGAGCAGAAAGAACGTAAGCTGGAGGATGGAGAGCAGTGCTCAGTCTTCTGAACATGACACTGTTGGCTGCTGCACTCATGAACTAACAGCAGGTACCTGCACAGAGCTGCACAAGAATGAACCTATCAACATCCTGCTGAGGCTCAGCGAGGAGCTCACCAGGCTCCACAGCTAGCTAAGGGGCTAATGGAGAATGGGGAGTCCTTTTTTCAATGGTGTAGATACTGGTAACTTGTCTGTATTCCAGCAAACAACCCCATATCCATGCAAGCAATCCAAATTAAACTCAGTAGTCTACTAAAAAAAAACAAGACATGAAGTCGGAAAGGAACTTGTTGGGGAGATGAAGGGATCAGAGCGAGTGGGAGGAAGAGCAGAGAGAGTTGTATATGATCAAAGCACATTACATACATGTGTGAAATTGGTAAAGAATAAACTAAACTCAAAGTAGTCTCGACAACCCCCCCCACACACACACACGCACACACAAGCACACATGCATGTGCTCTCTCTATAAATAAATATATTTTTAAAGTGAGAGAGAGCCTGCCTCAACACAGTGGAAGGTGAGAGCCAACTCCTTAAAGTAATTCTCTGATGTCTACAGGCACTCTATGGTACATGCACATCTCTGCAGTCTAAAGGCACTCTATGGTACATGCACATCTCTAATATCTACAGGCACTCTAAGGCACATGACATCTTCACTCACTCACACATCCATACATACACAAATTAAATGAACTGATTTTAAAAGAAAATTAATACACTGAATTTTGCAGTTCTTTTTGTAGACACATGGAACACTTACAATTTGTTCTGCTTGGATTGATTTGATGAAACAGTGCTGAGCAAGGGCATAATTTCTAATACCTGAAATATACAGAATTTAAAGTCACTAAACTTTATTGCCTGAAAACAAATAATCTTGCAAAATAAAGTAAGTGTTACTCAATTCTCACCACGGTAACATGCAACCACACCAAGAGCATTCCAGTATAAGTGATTATTACTGTCCAATCTCACTGCCTTCTTTAAACACTGAAAAAAAGTTAAAGTAACTTTTTTATTTCTTGAATATCAGCATTTGTATAAATAAAACGTGGTTTAATGTTAAAATATTTATCAGTAGCATCTTTCATAAAATCACTGTGTTTAAGTTCATAAGAAATTTCTCCTACATGCACAGATTTCTCCAGGAGCTCGGTAAGGCCATCCGTGCCACTGCCTGTCTCTGCCAGATGTCGTGCTTGGTGGTAGTAATTAATTCCAAGATCACACCACGTATTAGATGTCGACATCAACTTTAATGCACGACCATAGCATCTGCAGAAAAGTGAAAACAGATGGTACAGATGCTTTTAAAATATAATGTTCTAATCCAACTCTAAAGCAAAGGCTGGTATTCTCTGTAAATCACCTTCCTCCAAGATGCAGAAGCTCGTCTTTCTTTAATACTTCTCTTCCTTCTTGCTGACCGAGAAGGACTCCTAAGACATGAACATTCACTTTCGACGGTGAAACAGCATGCAGGCTGGTGCAGGCATCCCCAGCAAGCTTCCAAAGGCAGGACACATCAGCTCGATGCTGCAGTGCCCTGTAAGGAGAAACGAGGCTTTCAAAGTTATGTCCAAAAGCTCAGGTGTATGCCTCTCAGGACCACACATTCTTAGAACAGAAGGACTATGTGTGCAGTCCTGGCTGAGAGTGATTACTTTAGTCAGATTCTGTGCATATTTCACTGATCACTTCACAGAACTACACTCTACCACCTCCTTACTTGGAGGGAAAAAAGATCTAGAAAAAAGAGAAGAGGGGGAACTGATTATTTTATGTGGCAGGAAATTTTTCAGTTTTTTTTTTTTCAGATATCTTCATTATAACTGTTAGAAGTAGCAGAAACCAAATAAAAAGAAACACTTGAGGACTAGTTTGGGGAAATTCTGTTACTGTTGTTCGGTTTAGGTTCAATAGCAGGGCTCTGAAGGTGTGCCTTTTTGTTTGGTTAATCAATAATCAAGGCAGTGACTTTCGTTATAATAGCTCATGTCTTTGGACTTCCCCTCAAAAGACTAAATAATGTATCAACTATATTTGGTGGAGTACAGGATTTTCACTGAGGGCAAAAATAAATGCAAACTCTAGACATGAAAATGTAAAGATCTCCCATCAGAAGCAAGTAAGAGCAGCCTGGATTAACAACTCAGAAAGTACACAGTGGTATGAGGAGGTATGTGAAGGGTTAGTTCCTTTTAGAATGAGAAGAATCAGAGCTGCACATTTCTCTCCACCTTTCTCAGAGCATCTCAGTTTAGGCCAAGACTCGATAATCTGCCACTATAAACTGCTATGCCACAGAGAGATGAGATGGGACATCTTCACAGCCTTTTCTACTACAGGAGCCCAGCCGAAATCCATCTCCCAGTGTCTTCCTGAGAAACTAATTACTGCTGTCATCTCTGAAAACCCACCCACTGTGAGAATCAGAAGGAAGGCCATTATTCCCAAGTTCCTTTAAATATCTTAGTAAGATTTCTAAAATTGACACATGAAAGGAGAAAAAAGAAAACAGTAGCAATCTTAACTGTCCAAACTCATGTCTTTCCAACTTTAATTTTTTTTTAATCAGGGCTGGGAATTCAGCTCAGTGGTATAGTTTCTGTTGAAATGTTACTATCTTTGATGTTGCTATCCTCTTGTCTTGGCTTCCCAAGTGGCTGGGATTATAGGCATGCACCACTGTGCCCAAGACAATCTGTAGACTTGCTGTTGCCACTGGGGAGGGGTTGAGTACAGAGGCCATGAACTATCCTGCTCTACCCCTCTCCGTCATATTTCTTTGACACATGGCAGATGTCTCACTGAACCTAAAGGTAGGCTGGCAGCCAGTAAGACTCAGTAATTTTCTGGCCTCTGCCTCTCAAAACACCAGTTGCAGGCACATGTGCAGCCACACACCACAACACGAGTACTGGGGATTTAAATTCAGGTCCTCAAGCTTTTCCAGCAACTGCCTTACCCGCAGAGCCATCTCCCTAAGCCCTAATATGTGGGCTTTTTGAAGTCATCTAACACAAATAACACTTTGCACTTCTGTAATGTAAGAGATGTAAATCTTCCTGATTCTTTTCTTATTAGATACACCACTTTTTCTTACAGCTTCTCTCCAGGAATAATTTGAAGGCTCGTTTTTCCCTCACTTCAGCCCATTCAAAAGCCTGAAACAGGCCCTACTGATGAATGAAAAGCATACTGGGTATCTGAAGCTCCACTTCTCAAACAGTTCCAGCAGAGAGGCTCCCAGTTCAAGGTCAGAAGCCTAAGACACTTTACCAGTGTCTTAGGGCCACGGCTTCCCTCCTCTCTGCAGCGTGGCAAGCATTACAAAGGGCACAAAGAAGTCTCTTTCCCAGTCTCAGAGGTAAAATTATTAGTTTTCATGCTGCAGAATTAATCAGCTAGTCTGTTATTCTTATGTATGATACTCTGAATAACTGCTATATCTAACAGCATAGACATAAAATTATATTCTAAATTTAGCTTTATTATACTACCAAGAAAGTATGAGTGCTAAACAAAGGTGATACTAACCAAGTAAAATATTCCAGTGCTTTTTCCACATAGTCCACAGCTTTCCCATCCAGAAAATCCACTAAAGCTGTTTTCGCCATCATCAGATAGCACTCACCCAAACCTGCAGTGAGGTGAGTTTGTGTACATCATTCAAATATACAAAGCAAACAGGCTGATTTTTTAAGAAAGCTTCCCAGAAAGCAATACAGTCATTTTATAAAATTATTTCTAAATACGATCTTGAAATATTTAGAAAAGATCTCCATGTCAAGGTTCTCTTGCAATCAACATGTACTAAAACTCACAGAAAATCATCTGCACAGAATTCTCTTGACTATGGGCTAATTTAATTTGTCTTCAGATGTCAGCTCACAAACTAGGGACACTATTACTCTCTATCATACAGATTTAATCTTTTACGTTAAAATCTGTGCAGTTATACAGTAAAATCAAATGAAGCAGTAAATTCTTCAAGTCCCAGGAAATATTCATAAAAGTGAGTTCTTTCTTCTCTTGAGGAAAGTTTTATAAATGAAGAAAGGGGGAGAAGAGAGAGAAAAAAAATGATTCCAAGTTCTAAGCTGCATGTTACTCAAAACCTACAACCTTAATAACTGAAACCTCGACGGTTTCTTTTATAAGAAACAAACAGAAGAGCATATATAGCAGTACATATATCATGAAGGGTAAGATGTAACCTCAAAAACTTAAATTACAGTGTTATTCGTTATATACTTAAAAACAGGGTTAGGAAGGACTACTGAAAGAGGAACTAAAATCAGTTTAATTACAAAAAAAAGGAAATTGCATCTAAAAATAATTTAAGTAAGCCTCTACAACATACAATAATAAAATTATAAAATAACAAATTATTAAGCTACTCTGGGAATATAAAATTACTAAAAGCATCATAGAAATTTGCTTGGCTCTATTGTTCTATTTGTCTAAAAGTTAAATCTCTACCATATTACTATTTATGAACTACTAGGAAACAAAATTTGATCTTTTTATAATCAATCTATATCAAGTTGTACAATAAGAAATTCCTGTCAGATACTTACTATTGACCACATGCTTCTCAAGCTATTTAATACAGGTAGGTAGAAAATTTACTATAAAGTTCAATATTGTTAAAATTGAAAAAGGAACTCCTGGAATTACCTTTCAAGGCCGGCACATAGCCCTCCTCCTTTTTAAGGATGAGCTGATACTGAGTGATGGCTTCTGTGTACCGGCCCAGGAGCTGCTGAATCGCTGCTACCTTAAACACACTGTAGGTGGAGTCTGGGTTCAGCTCGCTGGCTCTCGTGAAGGACTTCAAGGCTGTTGTGTAGCCACCCCTGCTCAAGTACGCCTCTCCCAAGGATTCCCAACAATTACAGTCCTTTGGGTCCGCCCTTAGTGCCGCCTGTAAACTTCACATTTTAAGAAACAGTGAGAAAATTAACAGTAATACAACTGCATCCACATCTAAAATAATTAATTCAATTAAATCATCCATAAGTCCTTTGATTTGTAAAAATGACACTTAAAGCAGTCTTTCCTGTTTCTTTTACAATTTGAATGTTATTAATAGTGAGAAGATTTTGTGAAGTGATTTTTTTTTTTAAATAAGAACAAAATGCTCTTTGGGGGAAATGTTGACCATAGTTTCTTTTTCTTTATTATTTGGCAGAACTTCAGTTTTCTAGGCCTCCAGGACAGGTGGATACTCAGTTTGCCCCCTCAACCTATGAACCTGTCAATCCTCCTCTAAACATCTGAAATACAGGAGTGAGAGGGATACTTATACTCCTGATCACATTGCATCTTTATGAAAAAATCAGAATGTTTACATTCTAGAAATTAACATACATCAGACATGACTTAATTATATTTTTACCCTGAAATACAATTCAAACAAAATGTCTAAAATCAATCACGCACGAGCTTCTCCAAAACTGCCTTCAAGCTGACAAGGTTTCCCTCGCCTAAGCCAACAGAAGTCAGTGTAACAGCACAGATCTGCTTTTTACTACTGAAATGTCTCTGGAGGGGACCTATCGCATTACGATGCCAACAAAGACTGAACTCCTCAACACCAGTACAAGACTTAGTCCACTTTCAATTCTATTGCCTGCAGGCAATAAGCACCCAAATAACTTTTGTTACGGTTCTCTCAAACCGCATCTTGGTTAGAGGCCACTTATGAAGGTCATGTGGCTATCAAGGAAATTTAAAGACGCACCACACTGTTTAAATGTAAGTGTAATAAGATGTCTTACTCAGCCACTGCTTGCGAATGCTGCCCAGCTTTCAGATAGTGCAGTCCTCGCCGAAGCCAGGCCCACTTCGCTGCTCCAGCACTTGCCTTTTGAGTTACTGCTGTTAAGATAGCTAAAGCAGTTTCCTAATGAGAAAATATCAACGTTAGGGACACCAAATATAAAAATACAGAACCAACATTCAAAGGATACAACCATACTTTCAGTTCCCACTTTTGATTTTTTAAAATTTACAATGAAATACATAAAACTAATTTTAATAATAAACGAAAAGTCAATTGGTAAAGACCTGACACACAAGCACAAGGGTCCGAGGCCTGATACCCAGCCCTCCGGAACTCGTGGAAAAAGGTGGGGTGGGGAATATTCCTGTAACCCCAGTCCGGGAGTGGGGTGGAAAGATAGACAGGAGCCTGAAGTTCACTGCCCAGTTAGCCTGGCCACATGCATGAGCTTAAGCTTCAGTGAACAACCTCTCTCAAAAAGTACAAGTGGTAAGCTATCAAGGAAAGACACCTGAGGCTGACCTCAGGCCTATGCACCCACGCACAGGGACCCACATGAATGCCAGGCAGATAGGTACATAGCCATATAAACATACACACACAAAAAATGACAGGTAATTTAGTATCTACCAAATGAAAAGAAAATGTAGCTTATAAATGAGTACAAAGATATTTCTATTTTGCCTACATAGAATAATGAAAATAACTTTCAAGTAAATATATTATAAAAACATTCTCATTTATATACTGGGGTAAAATACAGAGTGGTCACGAGACAGACCGTGTCTTCAAGTTCCACACTTAGGTCAACGGCTGCCGCTCCAGACTCAGCATCGGTGTCATCTAATTCAAAAGCTTTCCTGTAACATCCGCGGGCTCTGCTCCTATCTCCAGCTATATCGCGGTAATAATGACCTAAATAGCAGAAAACTTTACCCATGTATGTGTCCAGTCTTGCAGCCTTGGAAATAAACGTTGACAATGGAATATTAAAAGTTTATTTCAATGCATATTAAGGATATAGTACACTGATTAAAGAAAAGAAACTATTTTATTAAAACTATAGAATTATGCCAAAAAATCCTTTAGTGTGATATTTAAAACAGACACAAAAGCTGATCTACCCTGCCTATAGAAAATAAACACAAGGTAAAACTAGCATGTCTTGGATAAAACAAACATGAAATTAAAGCCATTGTTAAATTAATATGTTCCCTGAGAAGATAAGAACTTAAAACATAGATGTTAAATATCTATAAACAGGAAGCTAAAAATCCAGACTCGTGTACCCATAAAACTACAGAGGCCATCAGTTAAAACAGCATTGCTTCCACAGATACCATGTCTCAACTTCTGTAACACATATTTCTGAAACATGTCTCAATGTCTATAACACGTATTTCTGAAATAGACACTTTTATACGTTCATGATTTAAATTTTCACCTAGAAAAACCCACAGAATATTCTCACAAAACCTCTTCTATGAGAAATGAAATGCAAAAGGATACTGCATTAAACAGTAATGTTAACAAATCCACTTTAACAAAGACTTTAGTAGTAGCAGTGGCTTACCTTCAGAAAGTGGGTCAGAGCCTTTGCTTTATCTTTTCTTGTCTCTTCGCCCATGAACCAGTATGTCAACCCAAGCTGGTAATGATATTCAGCAACTTCAGCGTCTTTCTCAATTGCTCTCTGGAAACTGAATCACCAAATGGAAGTAAAAAGAAGTATTAAGTGTGTGTGTGCCTGTGTGCATGTGCATGTGTGTATGTGTATAAAACAAGGGACTCCAAGACAGAACAATCAAGCTAGGTGATTAAGAATCCCAAATCCAAGAGCTGAAGAGACAGCTCAGGGTGAAGCACATCTGCTGTTTTCCCAGAGGACCTGGGTTCCCAGTACCAACACAAAGGCCCAAAGCTGTAACTCGTTTCAGGGAATTTGACACCACATTCTGAACTCTGTAGGTACTAGGTACACATCTATACATACATACATGCAAGCAAAACACACATACATATATAATAAAATGAACCTAAAAAATTTCCCAGACCTAAAACATTTCACTACTTCAGCTTTTAGACTATAGTAAACAAAAAGTGATGTTACTGAAGAAGAGCTTTAAGAAGCATGGTGGCCGTTTAACACTGTATGTGTTCAGAACATATACCAAATATTACACTGGCTACCCAAACATTATGATCACTACTTAGATTAGAAATCTATCACAGAAAAATTTATAGTTCCTATGCTACAAGTGAAATTAAACACACACACACACACACACACACACACACACACACGCACACCATAAATCTAAAAGTGAAACTTCATCAAGCCCATGTCGAATTTTTAAGAAATAAGTGAGATATGACTGGAGTCACAGGTGAGCTGTGCACCCTCACCATGCTTCTGCTTGCAGATAGTCCTTCTTAGTAAAATGTATCAGAGCCTCAAGCGCATGGACTTCGGCCAGGTCAGGGTAAGAAGCTCGAAGATCTTCCATAATCTGTCAAGGAGACACTTATCAATTCCATATCCCATTAAAAACAAATGGGGAGCTGGAGAGATGGCTCAGCGGTTAAGTGCTCTGGCTGCTGTTCCAGAGGATCCAGGTTTGATTCCCAGCACCCACATGGTGGATGACAACCATCTATGACTCTAGTTCCAGAGGATCCAACACCCTTCCCTAATCTCTAAAGGCCCCAGGCATGCACATGGTACACAGACACACATGTAGGAAAACACTCATTCACATAAAATATAAAAAAAAAAAAATTAAATGGCTTTTGACTTTTATTTCTTAGTTGAGTTTTTTTTTTTTTTTTTTTTTTTTTTTTTTAGACAGGGTTTCTCTGTGTAGCTTTGCGCCTTTCCTGGGACTCACTTGGGAGTTTTTTTAGTTTTTATTTTACATTTTATTTTATTCTACTTTGGGTTCTTGGGACCAAATTCAGGACCTTCCAATTTGTAGGCAAGCACTATAGCATTGAACTAAGTCCCCAGACCCTTCCTTTAGCCTTCAAATACTGCTCCAGCTGAAAGAAAAGCACCAACCTTTGTAGCCTCGTCTACAGCACCTGTGTTCAGACGGGCCAGGCCTCGAAGAACCAGCAGTCCTGGGGTATTATCTGCATCCGAAACCTAGAAAATGATTGATAGCTGCTACAAGTCTCTCAAGACAGCTGCAGGGGTGTCTATTCTGCTTAAAGAATGAACACAGAAGAGCAGGGTCCGACAGAGTGTAGTCAGAATTCCATTACAATCCAGATTATCATTCTTTAATCATTTAATTGCGCAAATTTCAAATACACAAGAAAATTAAAGACCAGTGTAACAACCTTGCATGTACTCATTATCCAGCTACAGAATTATAAACTCAAAGGCTATGTTTGTCCATGTATATATCCACCCTTTTGCTATACCCTTCAGATGAATTTAAAACAAATGGCACGTACTGTAACTTCTCATCTGTGCTATTTCAGCATACAAATTTAAGATAAAGTCATTTGTAAATACCAAACACACTGCCAATCTCAGACCCAAAGCCAACCATATAGCTTCCATATCATCAGATTTCCTAGTTGCCTCATGAAGAATTTGAGCAACTTCTTTGAGTTAAAATTCAACTAAGACACATATATCTGAATAAGATGACAGATCCCCTTCTATCTCTCTGCTTTCTCCCTTATAATTTAACTGTGAAAACACAGGACATTTGTCACTGTTTCACACAGTCAACATCTGACTGAGTATGTTCTCACGGTGTTTGACATTCTCCCTGGTCCCCATGTCAATAGGCAGGGTTGGACATTTGACCTGATCTAGAAACATTATGCTACGTGTATTTGTCATGGTTTTTTCTGTGGAAGCCATTGATCCTCAATGCCTACATCTGTTCATTCACTAAGGATTACAAAATGACTTCTAGCCTATCTTTGCTCTTTTCCTTATCACCTAGAATACTTCAACCAAGAGAAACTTCTCCTCCCTCATCACCTGTTCGGCTACTCGAGGAACAGTTTGTAAGAGAGGCATAATAAATGCTTTCGCTCTTTCCAGTTTGTTCCTCAGCATCAAACAGCTTGTGACATGCTTTCATAAGCTTGCTGTGATGTTTTTCTTTGTGGTAGCATCACACACACATGAATTTAAACACAGTGTTTCTCTTCAGTACATGTACCGTTGCCCTCATTGGCCAGCTCCTGTGTCTGTTTAGTGTGGTTCTTTTATAGATTCTTTGCTTTCTAGCATAACATGATGTTTTGGCTCAACTTAACAATTTTCTGTCTCAGATATGGACTCTTACAGATTTTAAAGAAATTTTTCATTATGGTTTTTGTGTGTGTGAAAAAAGGTTTGGAAAGGTCTATATAAAGCATCTCTACAAGATATCTATAAAGCATCTGTACAAGATATATACTGAGGACAGATAAGTAGAAAATAAGGCATTAGATTTTGGGGGTTTTTGTTTTTGGTGACAGGGTCTCACAGTACAGCACAGGCTGGCCCAGAATTCATAATGTATCACAGGTTGGCCTTGAACTCATGGTCATCTTTCTGCCTGAGCTTCTGTGCTGAGATTACAGGCATGAACCACCACATCCAGCTACATAAGAGTTCTTAAAGGAGCCGGGCGGTGGTGGCGCACGCCTTTAATCCCAGCACTCGGGAGGCAGAGCCAGGCGGATCTCTGTGAGTTCGAGGCCAGCCTGGGCTACCAAGTGAGTTCCAGGAAAGGCACAAAGCTACACAGAGAAACCCTGTCTCGAAAAACCAAAAAAAAAAAAAGAGAGTTCTTAAAGGAGGCCAATTGCTGCTGTTACTTTAAAGAAAACAGAAACTGCAAAACCCTTTGAAATCCACAAAGCGATGATAACGAAGACCTGCAATGACTAACACATCTGACAAAACTCTTTAAGAAACAGTGTGGCTAAAATTCATGATCTGCCCACTATGTTTCCTCGCTAAGGAATTCCAAATTAAACCAAAAGCCTTAAGAAAACAGTTTCCTTTAAAAACAAAATCAACATCTGTGGAGGAAGCAAACCTTACATTCTTGAACATGAAGCTAATTAAGTCACCAATTGATTAATAATCTGTAAACCATTTTCTGAAGGGAAAAGTTAAAGCCCTAAATTGCGAATAATCAGGTGGTGCTACTGTAACAGGACAAGATCAAGATGGGAGAACAGGCATAAAAACAGAACAAATTCTTCACATACAACACAGCCTAAGGATCAAGATGGAGGGGTCTCAGCTCCTTCTCCAGCACCATGTCTGCCTGCACACTGCCACGATGGTAATGGACCAGATCTCTGACACTGTAAGCAGCCACCTCAATTAAATGCTTTCCTTTATAAAAGTTGTTGTGATCATGGTGTCTCTTCACAGCAACAGAAACCCTAACTAAGACAAGCAATTTCAAGAGTGTGGAAGGTTTATCAGAGTATAGATACTGATTTGTATCAGTAACTCAGAGTTTATGAAGGTAATCATTTGGCAGGGAGAGACAGCTGGTCGCTGGTGGCTGGAAACTGAAGCTGAAGAGAAAAACCCAGACCGCCTACCTGATCAAGAATGCGAAGTGCTTCCTCTGAAGACTCACAATCCGAGAGTTTAAGCAAAGCCTCTGCTTTCAGAAGACAGAGATTCTTCTGATGACGGTTGCCACCTGCCACACCATGATTATCTATGTTCTTCAGTGCTGACAAGATTGAGGACATGGGAATCAACCTCCAGCATTTCAGTTTGCTTGCTTTTTATGAATGACATACAGCCAGTAAGACAGCTTATAAGATAATGGTGCTTGCCTGGCCTGACAACCTGACTTCAGTGCCAAAGAACTATATAATACAAGAGAACCAAATTCTGCAAATTGTCTTCTGACTTCTAAATCCATGGCATGGTATATGCACATGTGTACACGCACACATACATATATAAATAAATATATAAAAGTTTAAAAAAAAACTTAAAGAATGAAATGGGAACAGAGAGAGGGCTCTGTAGTTAAAAACACTGGCTGCCCTTCCAAAGGCCCAGGTTTGATTTCCAGCAGCTTATAAGCAGGGGACCCTCTTCTTTTGTTTTTGTTTTTGTTTTTGTTTTTGGTTATTTTTGGTTTTTCAAGACAGGGTTTCTATGTGTAGTTTTGGTGTCTGTCCTGGATCTCACTCTGTAGACCAGGCTGGCCTCAAACTCACAGAGATCTGCCTGGCTTAGCCTCCCGAGTACTGGAATTAAAGGCGTGTGACACCACCACCCGGCTTGGGGTTCCCTTCTTCCGGCCTCCACAGCAAGGCAGGAACATGATGCACAGACATACATGTGGGCATTCCCATACACATAACATAAAGTCAATCTTAAAAATTTAAGATTTTCTTTTAAAAAGAATAACATAATACACTGTGGATACAGTGAGCAAAATTTCTAGTATATATAAGTGTTTTATATATATATATATATATATATATATACATATATATACGCATATATATACATACATATATATATATATATATATATAGAGAGAGAGAGAGAGAGAGAGAGATGAATAATTGAAACATAAATAAAAGTTCTCTGAAATACTTCTAGGAAGATCTGAATTAAAAGTCAAACACATAAATTTAAGACCTCTATCTTCACATGGTATGAATAAAATTGAAGGTGCTTAAGAACAATGGCTACTAGCCCTCTGCGTCTCGCAATTTAAGGGCACTGGAAGGGGAAAGAAGTCAAATTAGAATGGACTGTGTGGTTGTTTGAAAGAAAATGACCCCAAGGGGATGGTACTAATGGGAAGTGTGACCTTGTTGGAGTAGGTGTGGTCTTGTTGGAGAAAGTGTGTCACTGTGGAGGTGGGCTTTGAGGTCTCATATATGCTCAAGCCACGCCCAGTGAGACAGACCACTTCCTGTTGCCTGTAAGATGTAGGACTCTCAGCTTCTTCTCCAGTACCATGTCTGCCTACACACCGCCATGACCCATCATGACAATAATGGACTAAATCTCTGAATTGTAAGTGAGCTACCCGAATTAAATGTTTTTCTTTATAAGAGTTGCTGTGGTCATGGTGTCTCTTCACAGCAACAGAAACCCTAAGATAGACGTCTAAGGACACTGGAAAGGGGGAAAACTGAATTAGAATGGACTGTCAAATATAGAAGCTTGGCAAGTAAGAAAGAATTATCTCTTATCTATATCCATGACATTAAGAATTCATGAAGGTCCTAAACATACCAGAAAGTTCCTTGTTGGAAAGGCAGAACATCTGTTCCTAAGCCCTCACCTTAAAGATAAATGTAAGAGCAGACATGCACACAGATTGGGCATTTATTTATCTTCCTGAGTGCAATTTAAATCAACCACAAATTTAAACTGAAAACAAAAGTCCATCAATTTTAAAACAATATCTTTCTCAAGTTAGACAAAAACAAACAGCATTGGTCGGTCCCGTTATACATAAACACAAAGTACGTCAAGGATACCTTGGTTGCAAGAAAGAATAGCTTCCTTGGGTCTGTGCATTTTGGTTTGGGCTTCTGCTAGATGACACCAGCCAGCTATGCAGAGAGGGCTTTCCTTCACGCCTAGGATGAAGTAATCATAAATACCATGGGTTCTAGGAGTTGACCCAGGTCCTCACGCTCACATGACAAGCACATCATTGACTGATCTACATCCCTGGCCCATGCTGCCCCAGAAATTCTAAACAGGCAAATTAGATTACAGTGCTTCCAGGCTTAGAGCCTTTCAAGGCTCCTGCTGTCCGTGGGATGCACTCGCTGTACTTGATGCTTGTTAACAATGTTTGCAAGGCCATGTTCAGCCTCAATTCCTGTCCCTTCCAGTACCTCAAATCTTACTACCCTGAACAACAGCTTTCTTCTTAGCTCTGCTACTCCACAAATGCATTCACTGACCTATAAAGTTCCTCCCACTTGCCCCATCTACCTTCCTCACTGTATTAGTCACATTTCAGCTTGAACATAGGTTTATCCAAAAAAACACCACACCTGAGTCAACTAACGTAAACCTCTGTTTCTAAGGCTTCATCGAAGTATCCCTACTGTGTACAAAGGGAATCAATGGAACACATAAAGTTGAACTTTTCCATGGTCTTGAGTTTAAATTCAAATTTACAAGCAGACTCCAGAGTATGTATATTCATTTTCCCTTTACTTTAGTTTATCTCCTTACAGAAAGGCTAAAATAGTAGTCAGTATTGACTGAGTAACTACTCCTCATATTAAATATTATACTCTGCACATTACCTTCTGTCAGGTGACTAACAGCATCTTCATACTTCTTGTCTTGTAAAGCTTTAATGCCTAAGCCAATGAGGCCTGGACCACTCTTTGAATTCATTTCCACTAGCTTACAACAATACCGCTGTCCCTCATCTGTCAGACTCCCTAAAATAAAAAGAAAACATTATTAGCATTCATATATACATACATATGCATATGTATTAATATATATATACAAGTACACCGAATTCTTAACATCATACCTATATACATAAATTTCAAAAGCTGCTTTACACATATTTTCCTAAGTCCTGATTTAAGGAAATAAAAACTTAAATAAAGCAGCAAATATACAAGATATTATTACTTCATTAACATGTTTAAACACTGGAAGTAAAATCGCTTTACATACGTAAGTACTCTGAAACTGAACTCATGTTCAAGGGTTTCAAAGGAGAATCTTATTGCTACTAGTCCGTGGGTTGTCACAGAGCCCATGGCTTGCCCTGTCTTTTTCCTCCTATTCAACTCTCAGCAGCATTACCTATTCCCCATATCAACTTTAGTATTCACATGAAAGAAACAGAGTATCTCATTGGTTCCCTGAGGGCAACAATACACAGCTAGAGACGTAGCAGTCAACGCTGATGGACTTCCCACCATCCTAGTATCCAAGGATGCTGGGTTAGAATCAGGACACTGAAGGAAGACTTCGTTACAATCTTCTTAGTTCTGAAATACACTGCATACATTTTTATCAAACTATTCTTGCCTATATAATAATTGGGCTTATGCATTAATTATCCAGTGCTGCAATAATCTCAATTTATTTCAATAAAATAATTTAGGTAAAAAAACATCTATTTTGGAACAGTTCCATTTTCTCCAACCTCAAATCAATCAAATTTTCCAACTTCTAGAAATTCATACACCCCCCCCCAAAAGTGAAAAATGTTATTTGTTTATAATTAATGAGGAGCATTCGACACTTTAATAAATTGTTTAATCACACAGGAAAGCTCTGAAGAAGTGATTAAGACAGACAACTTGAAACAATAAGCGTGGGGAATAAATATAATTAATATTTTAAAAGTCTTGCTCTTTTAACATCTATTATAAAATATATATCCCCAAACCATATATGAAATTACTGATTCCATCACAGATACTAAAAGTAAATTATTTCCATAATGCCATTACATTTCAATATAACGCATATAAGATGTATACCAATGAATAATCTATAAGTAATGTTATATACTGATTTAGAACTCTAAATTGGCACCAAAAAATAAATGAATTCGTAATAGATAAAAAATTAAAACTTCTGCACTTTATGGTAAAATATGAACCCAAACTGAAGAAATATAACTTTGGTTAGTTGTTATGTTCCCAGATATGACTTTCCTCCTGCCAAGACCACCTCACTATTGTCTCTACAAATATGAATTCTAAGAAGATAGTTCCATAACTTCAATATCCTCTTTTGTCTACACTGCACATCAACACTAGCCATCAGAACCACTGAAGGATTCAATTTGTTCAACAGTATGCTGAGCTCACTCTCAGTATCTGCCTCAGCAGTTCTGAGACAATGTTTGAGAGTTTGCATTTCTGATGTATTCCCAGGTAATGTTGACGCTACTTGTTCAGACAGGTAGAACCACAGATTTGCTAATACCACATGCTAGCTCTACTGTTAGTGTAAGAGACATATAGTGACTCTACTGCCTCTGTAACTAAATGACAACTTCTAGAGAAGTGAGATGACACAGGATATAGCGTTATTAAGTAGTATGTTGAGTCTTTGAAAACATAATTCATGACAGACTACTTTTTGCAACACAAACTGCCTTTATCACAAACATGCCTAGGACGACAAAAGGAAAGGTCGTCATGAATCTCTCCAAGATAACCCACAGTTAGAGTACCCAAACTACACAGGGATAAACACAGTCTGTACAGGGAGCTTCCCAAAGGCCACAATGGACAGGAGACACTCTTAAAACAAGGTACCTTCCTAATATATTCCCTTTGCTAATATCTGGAAGCACAATTATAAAGACAAAAGACAACTGGCACATGCCTATAATTTCAGCAGTTGAGACACGAGGTCAGAGGTTCAGGAGTTCAAGGCCAGCCTAGAATACATGAGACCCTGTCTCAAGAAGAGGGGAAAAAGCCCCATGTAGCACTTTCTCCGCATATGCCCAGGAGGAACTTTAAGAAACTCTGTAGCATTCTCTAAAAGTAGTAACAGAAATCATATCAGTTAATTATAACAACAATTAATGGAAAAAGAGGCCATGAATTGGAAAGAGAGCAAGGTGAGGTTTATGGGGGAGGGGGTTGGAGGGAGGAGAGAGAAGAGGGGAAATGATTTAATCATATTATAATCTTTAAAAAAAGAGAAAAAATAAGTATAGTAAACAATTATAAAAAAACAGTTTAAAAATTATAATTTTTACTTCTCAAAAAGGCAGTCCAGATCTAAGGTTGCTAAATATTAAAATTAGAAATATCAAAGTGATGATACAAAATAACTCTATGGAATTCAGCTTCCTAAATTATATCATAAGAAAATATTTTGTTTTGTTTTGTTTTTAAAATCACTTCTGACATACCAAAGAAACGAATGAGCACTACAACTTTTCACGTTTAAATAAACCTAGTTTTGGAGGGAGAAAAAAAAAATAGAATTTGATGGCACTCATTTCTCCATATTCATCTGCATTTTCAAATATTTCTAAGACATAAAACCTTGTTATTTTTCATTGCTGGTAACCAAACCCAGAGTTTCGCTCACTCATGCTAAGCAAGTGTTCTATCCTGAGCTACCTCCTGGGCTCAAACACAAAGTCATAACCCTTAATGAAGCTGTTTTCTGCTTGAATTTGAAGAGCCAAGCCTCCTTGTCCTCTTGCATTTTGGCTACAAGGTAAAATAAATAAAAACAGTTATTTAGCACATACACAAAAAAACACCTTTCAACAAATGGCAACTAGGAAAGTTATACTGAAAATGAATCTTGAGTCTCAACACACAAAGCAAGACCCAGAAGTATGGAATACATTTTTGTCCTTGGTGGAGAGACAGTGATTCACTGCTGTAAAGCAGCAGATCACATGGGAACTAAAGTACTTTGGGGGAGGAAGGGTGTGCTGGCCTTGAGAGACCTTGAAGGTTTCTAGCAGTTCTTAATCTGCAGGATACATAAAGTTTGCCTTGGAATGACAAAAGAGAAATCATGCACAGCTTTGCACTGTCCTAGAACAAGAACTCTGAGTCTAACCACACATCTGAGCACCTACCCATCCACTGCTACTCACCATGGCACAGACCTACCTCCCCACCAATTCTACACAATACCCATCCCCAAAGGCTCTCCAAGAATACTTTCTTTGTTCTGTTTTGCTGAGACTGAATCTTGTGTAGCCCAGGCTGGCCTCAAACTTGATATGCCCCTGAAGCTGGCTGAGATCCTTCTGCCTTTCCCTTCCAAGGGCTGAGATTATAAGTGTGTACTAATACACTCAGCTTTTAAGCCAGTATGTTTTCTTATCAGTCAATAATCCCTTCACTATGTCATTATTATCCTTCACACACACACACACACACACACACACACACACACACACACACCACCACACATACCCTCACCACATAAACACCACACACACACACACACACACACACCACCACCACCACACACACCCTCACCACATAAACACCACATATACACACACATACAAAACACACAGACACACCACCACACCACACACGCATGCACGCACAACCCCTATACCACACCACACCCAACACCTCACCACACACTCACACACACACACACTGCACATATACACACACCACACAGACCGCACACACACATACACACCACAGGCAAATACACACCATACACACACCACACACACTGTAAGATAAAGCCAGGGCCTCCTGCTCTCATCTGCTACATCCCAGTCCAACTTTTATGTATTGTTTCTTAATGCCCACAGGATGATACTGGGTTTTCTTTAACAGACAGTTTTTTGCAAAATTTCATTTATGTTTCTGTCCTCTCCAACTTTCTCTAGAGCAGGATCTAGGTAAGATCTCAAATCCATTTTATTGCAAACCTCGAGGAATGCTAGAAACATTATGCTATGTTTGAAAGCATCTTGTTTTTTCACACTGATTGAGGAAGGAATGGTCTCTTTATTAGAAAGACCACTAAATTTATGTACAAAACTCTGCCGATGGAGTTGATTCCCTTTCTTCCTGCTGTTTTATAGGCATTCTGGAATACCAGGGCCATGCTTATCCCAAGACAAAAGAACAAACAAAAAACAGATTAAAGGCAAATTCACACTTATGAGAAAGCATTCAGTCAGTTTTCCAAAAGAAATGTCCAGATACTCACCTACACCATTTAGTATATGAGCAGACTAAGGAGGAAATGGTGCAGACCACTAACAGCTAAACAGAACTGGAGAGAGAGTAACCACCAGTCACTAACTCTTGACCGCAACTCTAACAGCCACAAAGCCTATATCAATCACATCTTTAATCACACACTGGGTCTTACAATAAAATCTGAAGAAACTGGATGATTTTGAAATAAGGCTTCCTATCAGATGAAAAACAAAAACATATCTCCTTGTGCTGACCGGCTCCTTGTGGACCTTATTTTCCAAGGATTTAATACAGCATTTGTCATGTCCAGTCGACCCTTCCTGAAGTGGTCCAGAGACACTACAGCAATCCTTCTCCTGCCCCTCTGAAAGCGTGCTGCCCCTATCACGTGATTCACTTCCTCTGCCTTCGGTCTTGAAATAGTCCAAACAGGAGACATCACTGTAATCCTTCTCCTGCTTCTCTTGCTGCCCCCATCACGTGACTTGTTTCCTCTGCTTTTCCCATAAACAGTAAAGCCCCTAGATTACTTTTCTTCTTAAACTTCTAAACTTCCTCAACTTCCTCCATCATTATTTGTTCAATTACTTTTATTTTTTTTTAAAAAAAGCCTTAATATTCGTTTTCTTAATCATAAAATCAGTTACTCAGTTTATCATGATAGTCCCCAACAGACTTCTTTCTGAAATACTTTCCTGTCTTCACATAGGGGCCCACACCTATCCCTTTCCTGGTCCTCATTCTTTTCTTCCTCTTCTCAAGCTACAAGCAGCCATCCTCAGCCTTTTGCCCCTTGGTCTTCTGTGATGCCAATCAATCCACCTCACTTTCATACGAATGATTGCCAAGCTACATGCTTAGCTTTAGTTTGCAGATTCCCATTTACAATTGATGAGCTTTGGCTAATTTAATAGTTCCTTTCAAATGTACTTTTCACATAAACCATTTTTTTTTCTATATTGGGCTAAATTTTCAGAAGAACCAAAATTTGAAAATAATTTTGCCCTTCCCTTTAAGAAGCTGAAGGCATTTTTTTCCATTCATCGGCTCCTTCCTGTCACCACCACTATATTCCAAGTTCATTTACTCATTCTTAGTATCACTCTAGTCTACTTTAGTCCATCATAAACATTTAGTTTAAGCACTTGTGTTTCATAAAGTAATTCACTCTGATACTTTTGGTAATTTTCGTGATAGTTAAAAATATTCTCTTTGAAAAAAAGAAAAAGATCTTACTTATTCGTGGAAATGCTGAGACTAAAGGTAAGAGCACTGACTTCATACAGAGCAGGAAACTTAAGGAGTGATGAAGGAGATGAGATGGGCAGAGTGGAAATAGGTGCAATGGTCAGCGCCTACCAGGAATTCTCCCTCAGTTCTCTAGAACTGTATTTTTCTACTATGACAAATGTGAGTCATTCACACAAAATGTTCCACGTATTTATCCATTTTGCAACCAAGTGAGAAAGATTCACTGTGCTAGGAAAGTTCCATGACAATCCAGTCCCCAGAATGCTTCTGCAGGTACTATTTCCAGCTCAGCTTCCTCACTGAGTTCCGTGAACTTGTTTATCTACCTCCGATGAATAAAAGCCTGTGTGGAAGTGTATCCCAGTCATCATAAAGCACTCTATTCAGCACAAACACTGACATGGACAGAGGGTGCCATGAAAAACCACGGTGGTCAATCTGCACAAATACCTGCCTAGGTCACAGACATACACACTTCAGATGTGCCAACTCCTAATGACCCAGCTGTTAACAACCATCTCTCTTCAAAGTACTATCACAGTACACAAAAAAGCAAGAGCATGTCACACACACCAAGACACACTCTCCAACCTGAATTTAATCTAGTTCACTTACGGACTAACAGTTCACAATACTTCAAAATTTTTAAAAAATGGACCATCGCTATGACATTAATTAATATCAACACTATGAAGCTCAATGTTTCCTTTTCATAGCACTCAAGACTTGTGTAATATAGTCCAACCTATTCAGCCAAATAGGTTCAATTATTCCTTCTACTATACCAAACAAATCTACTTTACTATTGCAATTAAAAGAGAGGCTGCATCTAGCGCCACAACTCTACACTTGCCACCTGGACTACTAGACCTGCCGCATCTAATGTCGGAGAAAGTTCAAGACATCCTTCAAGTCCTGCCACCAAAGGACTTCACAGAATTTTTAAAAGTAAAAATAAATAATAAAAAAAAGAATTTCATTGATGCACCAATAAGTCCTGTATCACTCTACTCTCCTACACTTCTCAGACTTTCTATAAACAGCAACACTACATAACTGTATTTCTCTGATGTCTAGAAACACTAATATAACATTTTATACACAGTAAGCACTAAAGTAGTGCTTAACTGATTGCAATATCACTCTCATATAATCATACACCTCTGTGAAGCAATATAAAAAAATTACCTGTCTCAATCAAGTACAAACAAATCACTTCTAGTGGATACTGTATGGTGGGATAGATAGTTATCATCCCTTCACAAGCCTTCTCCAACCTTGTAGTCTCATGAGGAAACTTGAAAATATAAAAGCACAATAAAGTAAATTCCAACAGCAATAAAACATACTGATGAACATTCTCATAACTAGAAATACATAAATGTCACTTACTTTAGATAAGCATTGAATGAAATGCCTATAAAGTACTTGGTGATCTTCACTGGGAATATTATCTGCTAAATCCAGTGCATTCTCAAATGCAGTTAAAAGCTGAAACAAACCAAAAAGCTATTATGTAGTATGCTAAATAAAAAATGTGACAAGTGCTATATACTGTATTAAGACTCCTTTATAAGCTGGGCAGTGGTAGTGCATGTCCTTAATCCCAGCACTCAGGAGGCTGAGATAGGTAGATCTCTGTGAGTTCAAAGCCAGCCTGGTCTGCAAAGTGAGTTCTAGGGCAGCCAAGGCTAAAGACTCCATTATAAAAACTAAACTTTCAACTTATGCCTGGCACTCATGATTCTCCCATTTGTTTGGTCAGATTTGTAAGGCAGGGGATCTCACTTTGTAACCCATGGCAGCCTTAATCCTGTGGAAATCCTCTTGCCTCAGCCTCCCAACTACAGGCATTACAGATGGAGCCACCATAACCTGCTTGGTCCTGACAATTTGAGTGAGGGAACAAAATGTCTATGTGAGTTTTAAAATACATTCTAACTCTGACTGGCCAACAGACTATGCTAAACTAGGAAGTGACAACTATAAATTTAAAACATTAGCTTAATAAAGCATTTTTCCCTTCGCTGCTGGCAGCTACAAAGCAATCAGCTAGAACATTATCTTATATGGCAATATAATATCACAAGCACATTTCTTTGGAAAATCTCCAAGAGTAGGAAAACTTTAAAGAAAAATTATGAAGTTGGGTTATACTTGGTAAAAAATAGAGAGAAGCATAATGAAACCACTTCTCTTAATACAGTATTAACTGACTTTGAAGAAAATCTTGAACAAAAGCCTTATAAATGTCTTGCACAAGAACAGTACAAGGCAAGCACTTTAAAGCATATTATACCCTCCATTTCATTATGTAAGCTCTACATTTTCAAGGGTATATTTATGACCTCATAAAATCCCTTATATATAGTCACCTGTCTTATTGCTGTGACCAAATATCTGACGAGAAGCAACTTAAGAGACGAGACGAAGGTTTGATTATGGCTCAGTCTGAGGGTACAGTCCACTGTGGCAGGAAGCACAGTTCACAACTGTCCCGGCAGCAGTAAGAAGCTATGTGCTCACATCTGAGCAGATCAGGACGCGGTGAGGAGGGGAGGCCAACATTTCTCCTTCTCCTTTTTATTTGGTCCAAGACCCCAGCTCATGGGCTGGTGTCACTCACATACTGACAGGTGTGTGAGTACCTGTTAGACATCCAGGTCTCCCAACCCCAATCACCCCAGTAAATCTACTAGAAAACACTCACAGTCATACCCCTCAGTGTTTCTTAATCCAATCAAGTTGACAAAATTAGTCATCACAACCAACCCTACTATCTCATCACTAAAATCTCTTTGGTAATTATAAAGACAATAAAAATAAGCAACATTTCACTGTTCTGATACAGGTAATGACCTCACAATAAAGGAAATTTAACCTAAAATAATTTAACATAATTAGCTTTTTCAAATAATAACTCAAGTATTCTAAGTGGAAAATAAGTGACATTTTTTTTCTTAACACTCATTATTTAAATTTCACCCCTTATCATTTTATTTATCTGTTTAATACCTAGAAATAAATTCTTAAAAGTATATTATTAAGAACCAAGAAAAAGAAGCAGTAGAGAGGGGAACAGCAATATACAGGTGATGTGAAGGGGGAAATGGAAAAAACGGGGTAGGCTTTAATTAGCGAATGGAAAAGGAGGTAAATACAGAGGAGGGAGAGGGGGATCAAATTTTTTTATTTATCCAAAATTACATATACTACATATAAGTGTATATACATACACAGTTTAAATGAAGCTAAGCCACTTGGGCTGAAAATGCTCCCCTCAAGAGCCATGGACTACCTGATGAAAACCCCAGCACCAGGCAAGATAAACTCCCTTTCAGGGGGCAATACAAGCCGCTGCTACTGTCCTTGGTCACCTCCGGGAAGCTGAAGGTAAGTTCCTACTGCGGAAGACACCGTTCACTTTGCACAGGGAACTTGGAAGATCAGAGTGGGATCTGAGTTGAACGCGTCTTCCCTGAACAGGAATTCATACCCTGGAAGCTGCCAAGGGAGAGAATCAAGCACCGGCCCTACCCAGCTATGAAGCCTAGGAACCACAGCCGTGGAACCACAGCAGTGACAGACAGAAGATGCAGTGGTGGCACTGGTATCCGGTGAGAGGGAAAAGAAATGCAGCCCACTCCTCGAGGAGTGATCCATGGCACTTAGAGAAAACCACATTACTACACCAGCAGTTCCTAGCTGCACCCTCAGTGTGTATCTGCGAATAGTGTCGTACCTAACCCTCGCTGAAGAAGCTTCTCTTTACCATTACAGAAAACAAGTCAAGACGCAGAGAACAACTAATCATGGGCGCCCAGCTTGGACAGATACATCTTTTAACTCCTGCACCCAAGGCTCAGAGAACATTCCAGAAGTGAGGACAGCAAGATTTTAAGAGCCAGGGGACTAGGAAATGGCTGTGAAATTGTGCCTTATAGAAACTACAGGGCAGCACATCTATGGTACCGCCATAACACGGCTGCTGAAAACACACCTGAACGAGGACAACACCAAAGGGCACGCTAACATGGACGGGGAATCTCATGAGCCCCCAGCTGGACAAACAGCTACTGGCAACTAAGGAACACCGAGAGCAGGAGTGCTCCTCCCCCAGGGAGGTACTCCCTAATTGGTTATTCAACACCAAGTGGTCAGCCCTGGAATCATATACATGCAAGTAACACTGAATGGACTCAGATATCTATATGAATTAATATATTCATGCATATATATAATGTATGTATAATGATAACAAAGAAAAGGAGGCCAGAAATTTCAGAGAAGTGGAGTGGGGGTGGCATGGAGGAGCTGGGGGAAAGGAAAAGGAGGAAAATGTTGTAATTATATTTTAATTTAAAAAAAAAAGACTAAGAAAAGTACAGAAAGTAAAGGGAAAGGGTAGAAAGATGGCTGAATATAATCAATGAATGCTTTATGTACGAATGCCATAAATAAGCATGGTTAATACATGTTTATAAAAAATTATTAGGTACTGTGATACATTTCTGTAATCCTCAGTATGCAGGAGACTGAGGCAGGAGGATCAAGAACTGATGTCCAGGGGAGGCCTGCCCCTCTCAGAGTGAATACAGAGAAGGGGTGGACTGGAGGAGACAGGTGAGGAAGAGAAAGGAGGGGAGGATGCAGTCAGGATGATAAATAAATAGACAGAGAATGAATGAATGAATGAATGAATGAATGAATGAATAAATAAATAAATAAATGAAAGAAAAAAAATTCCAAGCCAGCCTGGGCTGCATAATAAGATCCTGTCTCAAAATCAAAAACAAAACAACAAGCATGTGTGCATGTGGGTGTGCGTGTGCGTGTGTTGACTGGGGGCTGGGAATGGCTCGGTATTCAGTATGGTCCTAGAACATGCAAGACACTAGACTCAATTGTCAGCACAGAAAGAAAAAAGGGGAAGTAGAGACAGGGGAAAGAAAAGATGAAATCATAAAGGAAGAGAAGGACAAAGGCAAGGATGAAAGGACAAGGAAATGAAAGGTTCACTCTTCACTGCACTGACACACGGTACTTCCTGTTATGAATATAAAACTGAGCACACACAGCACTCACTGCACTGACATACGGTACTTTCCTGTGTTACTTCATTATGCCTCCATTTTCTAATTCAATTAAGTATCGATTTTCATGATGTAAACCATGAGGAATAAACAAGCTGATACCATCTGCTGGGTTTCATTATCCTGGTCCTCTATATTCTCAGCTAGCAACTCAGTCAGTTTTCTCCACAGCTCATAAAGCTCTTGCTTGTCTGCTCCGTCTTCTCGCCGTGTCTTTATCAATTTATACCATGTCCGAGCCACCTATTGAAAAGGAGATTTAAACAGCTATGTTAACTTAAACGTAAAATGTTTAACCTAAAAACCAAAATTATTTCCCCCATTAACATGTAATAATAGCAAAAGTACAATATCCCATTCCAGAGGAACTCCAACAAAAAAATAAGTTCATTAGGCAAATATCCAGAGCCCTTCTATCAGAAATACCGCTATGACATAAGATAACTACATCCTCAACTCCCACAATTTAGAAAGTAACAAAATGGCTCACTACGCTCCACAGCCACACTACTTAGTAAACTTAAACTAGTTTCAAAGTTTAGAACTTAGGATATCCTACATTTGAATTGTAATTCACATTTTCCAAAACACTGGGATTCACTTGTCAAAATTCTTGCTATCATAATATCTTAATTTTTAACTTGTATTAAGCAAGATGAAAGCCTTTTTCTAATAACACTGTCACGGGGAGTCCCTTAGAAGTCACTGACCAACCTCTAGCTGCCTCTTTTCCTGGTGATGCAGACCCACAAGCTTCTTACAGACATCACACCACTTCTGTTTGTCAACACTGAGGTTAAAGAGAAGAAAAGGAATTTTAATCTGATAGCAGAAACAACTAAAGACTTAAAATGCGCAAACATCTTTCATTATCTTGGCCATAAATTTTAAAATTCCAAATTGAGTCAATCATCAAATAGTCTTTTCAGTCTAATTCAATCACAAGAAATTTATGATAAATTTCCGAAAGAAAATTGCTTCTAAATTCTCAGTAAATGTTACCATCCCTTCCACCTCTGTGATGGTTATTCTTGGTTGTCAACTTGACTACATCTCAAATGAACTAAAACCAAGCTGCTGCACACAGCTGGAAAGGACTTTTCTTGACTGAATCATTTGAGGTAGGAAGACGCACCTTAAAATCTGTGCTAGCAGCCTATGTAGAGGACATGAAAAAGGAAGCTAGCTCTTCGCCTGCTTGCCCTCACTCTGGCAAGGCCATTCCTTTACTGGCATTAGAGCCTACTTCTTTGGAATTCCTGAGTTTACCTAAGACCAACTGGGACATCCAGCCTCATGGACAGAACTATTATTGGATTCATGGACCTTTCACTGTTGGAATAGTCCAACTATACCCTGTAATCCACTCTAATAAATCCCATTCATATATATGTAGATTCATCTTCTCAGTTTCTAGAGAATCCTAACACAAGTTCTATATAATTTCTTTCATTTTTTTTTTCTTTTTGATTTTTTGACACAGCATTTCTCTGTGTAGTCCTGGCTGTCCTGGAACTCGCTCTGTAGACCAGGCTGACCTTGAAACTCACAGAGATCCATCCGCCTGCCTCTGCCTCCCAAGTGCTGGGATTAAAGGCATGTGCCACCACTGCTCAGCTCTATATAATTTCTAATCACTCAATTCTAAGTCAGGTTTGTAAAGAAACTAGCTTTTCCCCACATATTCCTTACCTTTCATAGAGATCCAACAGCTTTTGGTAAACACCAGGTAAATCCCCCTTAGCATTTTCATGATTACACTTCTCATACAAACTCGCTAGCCCCTAGAAAAGAAGCAGTGATAATTATTCTTAGAAAAATCTCTCTTGTCCCCTTATTTATTTATTTATTTATTTAGGTTTTTCGAGACAGGGTTTCTCTGTGTAGCTTTGCGCCTTTCCTGGAACTCACTTTATAGACCAGGCTGGCCTGGAACTCACAGAAATCCGCCTGCCTCTGCCTCCCGAGTGCTGGGATTAAAGGCCGCCGCCGCCGCCGCCACCACCACCACCACCACCACCACCACCCGGCCACATTTATTTATTATGTGAAATAAAGTACCAACATCTAAAAATTACCACACTTTACAGATGAAGTATGTGTGGAATTTCCCTCCAAGAAAAGTGAAGGTAAGAGGACCCTTTACAGTCTTCTACTTAAAAATAACCCAGGTAGGTAGGAAGTTAAATAATGATAAACAGTATTTTTGGCACCTAAAATTAACTTTTAGATTTAGAAAATTTAATTTTTTTCATGAGACAGTTTAAATGCTTATTTTAACACTGGAGTCTACACTTTGGAAAATGAAAAACAAATGCTTTTCCCATATTATAAGAAATAAAACATGTCTCCATACCTGCCAAGCAAGTAGCTGCTCTGGCTCTAGCTCAGCAGCTTTCTTATAGGCACCCTGGGCCTGATCGGGCTGTTCTAATTCAGCTGCGGCAACACCAATGAAAACCCAGGCATTATAGTTATTTTTCTCTTGTTTTAACACTGTCTGATTAAAAAAAGAAAGAGTACGTTATTACATTTTAGAAACTACTGAACAAACAAAAAGCAATAATTAGGACACTGGATCTGCCGCCAACAAAGCGGCCTATAGAATGGTACCTAGCAGGGAAAATGAATGAAAGACTATAAAGGGTTTGGATAATGAGGCACCTTTCAGTAAGGTGCCCAAAGAACCTTGATGCCTAGTAAAATGCCTCCTCACACCCCATGAGAATGCTGGGTAGTAATTCCCAGGCCCATTCCTGCCTCGTCACTTCATCCAACCTCAATGTCTTCTTTTCCACAATCATATTTTCCCACATTAAAGATGGATTCTTTGTGGCACTTCTAGGTATATTCATCCTAATGTAACTATACCAAACAAATAAACAATGATACCTGTCATCTAGAACAAAATTATACACAGAGATATTTCTTTCAGAAATAAGAGTACTTACTAAAGTAAAGCAAATAACTTAAAGAGAGATTAATATATTCTAGAGAAAGAAAAAAAAATGGAGCTAAAATAAAATCAGGCTCTCAAGGTTCTGCATCTTCTAGGGAAAATCACATTTCCATGAGTTGAACCTCTCCACTAACTAGGCTTATGTGCCTCCACACACACTTCCAGCAATCTGTCACCAGTGTACTGTACAAGCTGCACTCTACCCAATAAGAATGCCTTCTACAAAACTCAGCAATGAGGTACCTGCCAAAGTTAAACTCCAACACTAGGGTCTTGTTCTGCTTATGTTCCAAACACCAGGTACAATGACTAGCACATCGCTGCTTATCAAAGACACAAGCTCCATGTCAATCACCAATCTGTAATTACTGTCTCACTAGTGATCCAGGTTTCAGAATCTGAGATACATTTTTAAAGAAATAATCACACACCATGAAATGTGGTGAAAATAGAGAGAAGATTCTAGGAGAACACAAAGAAAAAAGTACCTAACTATATGTACATAAACGGGAGCCAGCTTCCCCAAAGAAATGCGTATCCGATGCTGTAGAGCTCACTGGACAGAACAGCTACTATACTCTCAGGTAGCTTTTTTCTTTACTCTCAACCAATTCTGGGTTACTACAGAGAAGACATATCTCCCATGTGTTTTCTCCATTTATAGTCTACAGCTAAATGCTGCCGTTATAAATTATGAGCTACTTGGTGAAATTCAATGTTAAAATTTTGCAAAATGTCTACAGAAAGATGTCTACATGTGAAAGGGAAAAATCAGTAGCCATCTTGAGAGACGCTCCCCACCCTCCTCTAAAGGTAATTGCTGACCAGCAGTTTTAGAACTGACCAGAAGTTGAACTCATGAGAAGATAAGGCTGAAACAATAAATCTACATATCCTGGGTTCAGCAGGAGCAGGACATAGGGAGTAAAAAAATTAATGTCTCTATAGATACCCTGATACCTGTTAGCCATCGGTAACCTCATGCTTATAGATCAGCCAGCAACTTCAAAGAACTACCTCACCCCTAGACCCCTTGTCCAATCCCAAGCTGCAGGTAAACCTTTCCTATATAAACCCCTTCAAGTGAGTGCTCAGGCCCTCCTCCTCCACTGCTGTGTTGGATGTTGGATGCAGACCAAGCCCCAGGCTTGCTTTGTTATTAAAAACCTCTGTGTGCTCGCATCAGATATCGGCTCTGTGGTGGTCTTGCTTGGGGGTCTTGCAACATGCTAAGTAATGTAACAGAAACATGGGCCAGTAAAATGGCTCAGTGGGCCACCAAGGAAATAAATATTATTAAGGAAATAAGTTCAGTCCCTGGAACTCACATACAGGTGGAAAAAGAGAATTTGTTAAAGTTATCCTCTGATCTTCACATGTGTATGCCACAAACCATGCACATATACATTACACACACACACACATCATAATAGTAATAGTAATACAGTAATAATTTAGAAGCATAATCATATGTACATAATTAGATAAGCCCAGTGTTGGAAGAAAGTCCCTCTCATCTCACTCCACATATATTCCACCCTGTATCATATTAGTACCATCATGGCTTCATATTCCTGCTAGTCTCAGTCATCAGTATACTTTTATGAATAAGTCTCTTACATTCATAGAGGCTGGCACTTGTGCTGGACCTCATAGCCAAATAAATAATAAACCTGGAGGTCATGTAAGACTTAGGATTGATATACTGCTGTGTATTCAGCCTGTTTGTTTAACCTGCCTTTAAGAGTACAGTGTAACAAATAACCTTACCTGCTTTGGATTTCCCATGTGTCTGAATGTGTGCTATGATAATCATTTGCTGAAAATAGCAAACAGGTCAGAAATGTCCTTATAAACAAATATCCACCATAAATGATGGAAGCAACATGGATCTAAGTTGATAAGTCTGTTGAGGTTTTGTTATGTTTGCTTTTCTCAGTGCTTCTGGACCAGTAAAGTTCAGCCCCTCGTAAAACTGTTAAAGGTTTCTGTAGAGTATCCCCTCATTCCTTCCCTTTGTGACGCTCTCTATGCTGAACAATCAAAGTTAGCAAAAACCACCTGTAGGGACAGAGCCATGAGATAGCAGCATTCAGGCAGGCACTGGTTCAAGCTCATGTAACAGATAGATCACATCGAGGCCTGGAACCCTAAACTACAGACAGATGCAAGACACAGGAGAGAAGCAGGGAACTCAAAACTGGGCTTGCTCTTGGCCAAACTACTCCAAGAGGAAATGCTTTGATTCCTTTCCTTAATGGAGCACCAGTGCATTTGGATGCCTCTAGGGTGACCCCTAATGTGTTTAACCAGCTCGCCTACCCCAATTCAATCACTGCAATGGCCTCACTATAACAACCCTCAGCCTCCTCTTTCCTACCCCTTTTGTTTCTCCCTCCTTATGGTCCATCACTGTCAGTCACCCTCTGTCATCACATTCTTGACTCCTCTGCCTCTCTCCCTTCATCATTCACTGATTTCACTTTAATAACATAAATTTCAGGTGGGCACTTATTAGGTCTTGTGGGACGCAAGAATATATCACAGAGATTCAGCTGTGCATTAAAGCTAAACTTTGACCGCCAAGGTTCTGTCAAAAGGCAAGGCCATTTATTATATTTGGTGTTATCCAGCCTTTAATATACCAACTGTCTTCTGCTAGGAAATCCTAGCATGCCCAGACCAATTGGTAAACAGTTTAGCTCCCCAGACCTGCTGAACCTACTAAGTTACTAACTGCCCTGCTGAGCTTAGGAGACAAGCTGGCAGGAGATGCACAGCTTTGTTTCTTGTGCAAATGAAGTTCAGACCATCCATCCCCGTTCCTAGAGGAGGCCTAATGGTTCTCCAGAGCAAGTGACTGAGAACAAAAGAGGTTTTTACATATCAATGTGTAAGGTGGAACAACATTCCTAAGGAGGCAGAGAACCGCATGCCCAAGGAAAGAAAGGGCAGGCATTTTCTGTAGAAGGACAGAACAGCTTGGCGAGAGAGAAGAGAAGACAGAGGTTCCGTAGAGGGTAAGCAGATCTGGGGTAGAGTTTTCTGAGTGCCAGGAGTAGAGAGCAGCAGAGATGGAGAAAGAGGCTACAGAGGACGAAGATGAGACTGGAAGCATAGGAGTTTAGTCATTAGCAGGGCTATGAGCTAGGGAACTGGGCGGAACTGAATCTATGGAAACAGGATTTCAACCCAGAGAAATAACGTAGATGGATATGGAGCTTGGTGTGTCTAGAGTTATTCCTGCCTTGAATACCTGATGGAGCTATAGCTGAATTGATAGAAATTTGTCCTAGAGGAATAAAGTTAACAGACATAGGAGCACAGTGTAGCTAAGCCCCCCAGACCCTGGGTACTCCAAAATTAGTTCTCACTTGTAAGTTTGCAATCCTTTGAATTCTTATGCATGAGTTTTCTCAGCATGAATAACAACTGCTTCAAACCTGCTTTAGTCTTAAACATTCTTGTGCAACTCATCTCCTGCTATTAATACACATGTCACCAAAAATAGAAGCCAGAGAAAAACGCTCTTCTTTTCCCCTTGCCAATCAACAAACGGGGCCCTGTATGATCTGTACCTATCTTCTCTCCTGCTCAAACACAAGAGGAACTAAAGGCCTCCTTCCACACTCTGGGTCGCAGACACCGATCTCCCTAAGGACTTCACTTCTACCGCCTCTATCTATCTCTCCAGCACACTCAAATTTCTCTCTTTAACAGGAACATTCCCATCAGCACATGAGGAAGCTTTAGAATCTTTATTCTTCCACCCACGGGTCATAATAATAATGATGTATAATAAAGTGCTGGGTAGGCAAGGTGGCCCAGAGGTTAAGGTGCCTGCTATCAAATCTAACGATTTGAGTTCAATCCCCAGGACTGACATGGTAGCAAGAGAATTGACTCACAACACACATAACAGAGACATTTTTTAATGTAATACAACAATAATAATAATGCTAAAGTATAGTCACATTCCATAATGCAAGGTGCTTATGATTCCTCTGGGTTTGAGAACACGGCTTTGGTAATTTAGCAATAAAGAAAATTAAGTGCAGCAATAATAGCGTGCTTCACTAATAGGGAGAGATGGGTCTAACTGTTCTAAGATTCTACCACTTGACTGAATGTGGACAATAAATAACATACCTTAAAATAACTCATAAATTGGTAATGTAAATACATTATCAAAGAACCAAGTATTGCCAAAGAACCAAGTATCCTTTACCTTGCAATGTTTCAAAGCTTCTTTGTACTCTTTGTTTCTGATTGCATCTCTTGCACTTTTTAGGGCAGTCTTCACTTCTTTGCTAGACATTCTATCAAGACAAGAAGCCACAGTGAATATACAATAATATCGCCCTAATGATAATAGTACCAATAAACTTAAACATCTGATAAAGAGACATCTAATCCTTTCCCTCTGGAACAGTCTGCCCCCACCCCCCCTAATTCTACACACAGTTCATTCCCTCAGCTCTTCAGATTTCTACTCAAATGTCTCCTCCTCATTGGAACTCTCCCTGGACAAGATTCTTGAAGAATTCAAGAAGAATTGAGATTCTTCTCCTTCCATCTACTCAAAACCACTCATGTTCCCGTCCGCCCTCCCCTTGCTTTATTTTACTTCAAAGCACTTAACACATCTCCTGTAGCATATATTCTGTCTTGTGTATAACCCCAGCAGAATCTAAGTTCTGTATGAATAGGGTTTAGTCTATTACTGTTTTCCATCTCTAGGATTAGTATCTGACAAATGGTAGGTGACCAATAGAAGCATGTTGAAATTGAGCTAAATGAGTTAAAATTATACTCCCTCTCCACACATTTAGCTAAAATACAGATGATCTTGTGAACAAGGACCTACAATATAGAGTAATTCCAATCCAACTTTATAAGCAAGATCCAGTAGAATAAGACAGAGAAAAACATAAATAGCTTTAGTAACTAAGATGAGAGAATTTTTTAAAGTCTAATAAAGTTATTTTAATACTAGATTCTGTGAGATGTAAACCAGGATACCACCTTCATATTAAAGATTACCACATTTCTTTCTCTAATGAGAAATAAATGTTTACACATGAATAGAAGAATGGTGACTATGCAAAAATTATACACTAATCTCAGCCATCCAGGTGCGGCAGCATATTCCTGAAATCCCATCACTAGGGAGGTGAAAGCAGGAGAATCAGTTCAAGGCCATCCTCTGCTACATGGCAAGTTCAAGGCCAACCTTCCCTACATGAAAACTAATACTAATATTTTAAATAAATATTTATTTGTTTATTTTAAATAAAAATTTAAGATATTTTACTTTATAGGCAAAGTACTTCATTTAATATTAAAATACATTAATTTAAGCCCATGTTAATATTTTACAAATTACTGACTTACCCAAACCAAATACAATTACAATACAATGTTAAAGAAAAGAAATACATGTATTTTCTGTTGACTCAACCTATTTCTAATCTCATCATAAAGATAAAGCAAAGTTAGGTAGATACTAAATAGTTACAAACTCAAGATATTCAGAGTAACAAACTAAGCGACCGCCACAGTACACTGCCATAGAATTCAAATGCAGTAAGGGAACACAGTAACTATTTTACCACAGTAAACACACTAACACATTACACAACCACAGTGCATTAACACATCTACTGACACAATACATGAACACAGTACATGAACACTTCAAACACACACAGTACACTAATACAGTACCCTAACACAATTCACTCACATGGTACACTAATGTACACTATCTCAATACACTAACACAATTCACTCATGCAATACACTAATGTAGTACACTAACATGGCACACTAACATAGTATATTAACACAGTACACTAACACTGTACACAAATAGTACACTAACACTGTACACTACCACTTTACATAAATAGTACACTAATGTAATACACTAACACAATTCACTCATGCAATACACCAACACAGTACACTAATACACTAACACAACACACTAATGCAGCACACTATTATGTTTATGTAACTCATTTAGATTGTAATGGATAATTAAGAAGTACAGATTAATAATTAGTCTTCTATGATAGTCAAACTTGTAGTCATGTTAAGTTTTCTAGGTATACATAGATATAATTCAATTAGGTAGGTAATCTTCAAACACTTCAAAGACCTACAGAATATGGCACTTAAAATGTTTTAAAAATTTAGACTTTCTGGATAATGAGACATGTCTGCTCCTGGCAGCATCGATTTACTTCAGAGAGGAGGATGGGCATCGAAGACACTCTATATGGAGTTTATCTTCTTGGCAAAAATAGCCATTTGGGCAAGAAACTATTCTTGCCTAGACTGCTTGATCGACTGGACATGCAGGACCCATAGGAAGGTGACCACTGAACTTTGCTTGGTGAAATGGTCCTTCAGGTTCCTGTTTTGCAGAGGAAACTGCCAGACATTCCACAGGACACAGAGAAAAGTGACTGGGAGACTCTACCCCTGTGGGCTGAAGACAGATGCCCCAACTTTACAGAAGAACTTTGGATGACTGTCCAGGCTGCCAGCTGTCTCTGTCTACTCTCACAAGACTCCCAGAAAGTTATTTGTGTCCTTCTCCCATTTCTCAGGTAATATTATATCCTTCTGAGGTCTTTGATGTAGTTAAAGACTAGATAGTTATAATTTCCTTAGTTATGATAGGAGATAAGTTAGATATGAAACCTTAGACTCACTGATATAAGATAGGATATCTTCTTTAATTTTGCCAAATACAAATAGACTAGATCTTGTAACTGTAATTCTTGCTAGATAACTTTTTTGTTATATGTAATTTTACTATGTTAAAGTTAAAATCTTCCTTTAAAAAAAAAAACAGAAAGGGGAAGTGCTGTGGGATGTCCTATATGTTGTGAATAAATAAAATGTTGATTGGCCAGTAGCCAGGCAGGAAGTATGAGTTAGGCGGGACAAACAGAGAGGAGAGGCTGGGAGGTGGAAGTCTGGAGGGGACGCCAGCCTGCCATCCAGGGAGCATCATGTAAAGGCAGCAGATAAAGCCACGGAACAAGTGGAGACATATAGATTAAAAGAAATGAGCTGAGTATAAGAGTAAGAGCAGGTCAGTGGTAGGCCTGAGCTAATGGCCAAGCAGTTTAAATAATATAAACGTCTGTATGTTTATTTTATAAGTGGGCTATGGGACTGCCAGGGCTTGGCGGGACCTGGAGAGAAACTCTCTAGCTACAGCACACTAATGCAGTACACTAACATGGTACACTAACGCAGTACACTAACATGGTACACTAATATAGTATATTAACACAGTACACTAACATAACACTACTAGTACATTCTAGCCAAAATGAAATGCATAAGAAAAGAAATCTATGAAGTTAGAGATTTGAAGATAAGATTTTTTTAACTTACAGTAAGCTGGCATTCAGAATAATACAAAAATTAAGACACTATAAAATCAATTTATCTGTGATACATTCAGATTTCCCAAATAAAATTTAAGATCTTGTTGAAATAATTACTTAAAACAGCACATCACATTCTGTCATCTTCGAAACAATTAACTTACCTGAAAGTATCCTGATACTAATTTAGAGGTGAACTGGTAAAGAACGTTTTTAGTCTACAAATCTTGATAGCAACAGTTAACAAAGTTCAGTGTTGATTTCACATTAACTTTCTCAAGCCACATTCCTTCTGCAAAATAACCTGTAGACTAAAAGGAAGAGGTCAGTGAGGATGACTGACCTGGACAAATAAAGAGAGCTTTCCAGTTAAAAAACAAGAGAAGAAAAAGAAGACCTTAGGTGCGAGTATACACAAGGAAGAAAGAGCAGACAGTCTCCACGTGGGCTCATCAACGCTGACGCTGACGAGACACACAAAGGCCCTGCTGCTCTGCAGAATACGATATGAGTCAGGAGAAACATCTAAGCAGCATGTGAACCATGAGGGAACCAAACGCAGCTGATGAAAAGGAAAGGTACCGTAGGATGCAGAGAAGGTATGCTGGGTAAAGCAGTCAATGACTAGGAGAAGACCAGGTGAAACAATGGAGAGAAGAAGGACAAGACTCCAGTGAGAGGGGAAACAGGAGGAGAGCAGGAAGAGAGCGAGAGAGACAGAATGTCACACTGAGTACAGCTGCCTGAGAGCCGGACCCTGAGGGTCAGGTGGACACCTGTGGCATAGGGCAGCAGCAGGAGAACGAAGCCCACTGTAACGACACCTGCTCTTGAGAACAGCTGCTGCGTGCAGCACATGGAATTCTTTACTCTGCCACGTAACCATCTATTCTCTTCCCATTCCTTCCTCATTTAGCATAGTATGCAGGCTCTCAGGTACCCCCTTCATCAAACACATACGAGTGCACATATGTGTATACTTGTCAGTTTCAAACACGAAGTAATTTGTCTCTGAAAATAACTTTTTTAAAATAGGAGAAAAGGCCCATTAACCATTTTTTTAAACTAAACCTTAAAAAACTAGTCACCAACTAAGTAGCATCCAAACATTTTCATTAAAAAATCCATTATCCAAAATTACTCCATGTACCCCATGCTCTTCTATTTTCAATATTTCCCTCAATTCTGAGTATTTCCAAGACTTTATCTCCTTAGAAAGGCTCCAATTCTAGTCCACAACTCCACTAATATCTTCTCTAATTCCTCTCCTCCCATCATGTGTTCTTCTTCCTCCCAAGTTAAAATTTAGCACACAATGCTGAATGAAAAATGGGAGAAGAACAGGACTACACTGCAGTATTCTTCACACAGTTATGGAAAGATGCTGAACACAATAACCAGTTATCAAGGGAAAATACATTCACTTTTTCATGCTTTTATGCAATGAAAACTTTCCTACTATGAACTTAAAAGATGTTTATTCAAGTTAAGATTAAAAAGAAGCAACAACTATATTTTCAAATGGTTAGAAAGTAAGTCACAAAAAAAACAATGATAACCCTTAAGGTTATCAACAAGGGATAAATTAATTGATATGACCTCTCCAGCTGAAACCACAGGAACTTAAAAGCATAATCAGGATGAGCATCCAAAGATTCCACAAAATAAAAATAATAATTAAAAATCAGAAATGATCATGCACAGGAAGTTAATTATAAAAAGGAGGAAACTAACAATAATTAAATAGCAAAAATCTAAAGATATTTTGTCTCAGGGTTTTTATTGCTGTGAAGAGACAAAATGAACAGGGCAACTCTTATAAAGAAAACATCTAATTGGGGTGGCTTGCTTACAATTTCAGAGGCTCAGTCCATTATCATGGTGGAAGTAGGGCAGCATGCAGGCAGACGTGGTGCTGGAGAAACAGCTGTGAGTCCTACATCTTACAGGCAACAGGAAGTCAACTGACTGTGACACTGAGGGAAGCTTGAGCAAAGGAGACCTCAAAGCCCACCCTCATAGTGACACACTTCCTTCAACAAGACCATACCCACTCCAACCAAGTCACACCTCCTAATAGTGCCAATCCTATGAGATTATGGGGACCAATTGCATTGAAACTACTATGTATTTGCATTGACCTGTAGTATGATACAAAAAAGAAACCTATCATGAGTCCTTCTATTGAAGGACTTGGAAAGGATCATTAAGACAGACTGACTGCTTGTTACTTAGCATGCCACTCATCTCTTACCTGTTATCACACCTGCATCTTCTTCCTGAACTGAATGTCAAATTGTTCCTTACCCATTTTTTTCATCTAAATTAAGTAAAAACAACCATGAGATGTAATATAAAACACTCAAAACCTTCCAAAGTTTTTTAAAATCAGATTTGCCATGATCACAAGCTAAAACATGAGAAATAATTCTATATGATTTTAGGCTTTCATCTTTCCCAGAAAAACACTAATTTGCATCTCCAAATTTCTGAACTGGTTTAAACCTGGACTTCTTAAGCTGTTTTCAATCATGACTCCTTTTCACCTGTAAAATTGTATGCAACCTCGAGTATACAGGTACATAAACAAAGAAATACAAATCAAGTACTTATTGAGAGTAAAACATAAAGAAGTTTACGTTAAATCAACTCTTTGGTATACACATAATTTAGTAAATAACAAAGAAAATTTGCATACTAGTAAAATGAATGTTTATTCCTAGACAAAGAATTAAATCTTGGATGGATATTTCATACTGCAAGATATAGTACCTTCAAAATCTTTGAGAACTGGTAACTATTTTGACTTTAGAACTGTCAATGCTGAGAACACTGTTTCCCATTCACAGACAGCAGAAAATGGCAGAAGTGGCAATTAGAAACTGTTGGAAATCCTGTTCTCATCCCAAACCAAAATTCACTTTATGATTTTCTTTTATGAAACCCAAATCAACAATTAAAACAGCAATCTTTTAAATCAAACAATCTAAGACAACTAAGATATATTAATATGATTCATGGATGCTAAGAAATGATGATAGGAAAGATTTAAAAGTCTTTGTTTTCCATCAACCATTATGTTTCTGTAAGAGCAGAATTGAGGGTAAGTCCCTATTGATCAAAACTCTTCAGACAGAGGATTTGGAGGAATCAGGCTGGATGTGACCCAAAATTCTCCTCACTGAGGACTAGCTTTCCTGGTACTAGACGGTATCATGGAAGGTGACAAGGGAAAAAAGTAATCAATAGTCCTCCTCAGCTGTGATACCTACAAACCACAATGACCAGCAGAGTACAGATCGCCATAGGTGCAACAGTGGCACTTACGTTTGAGTGATAGCCAACCGCTGTCTAATTTGAGGTAAGATCAGCTCAATAGGAGGGAACTCATTCCTGTACTATAAACCTAACCAACTACCGATGCCTGGTGAGGCCAAGGAACCTAGAGAAAAACCTGCTACTACCACTTCCCCTACCAGTATATCTCTAGCTACATTTTTGTTCAGCCTTTCTCTTCCCCTCCAACTGCATTCCTAATACTTATCTTTCCACTCACAGACAATGTAACCCTCACCCTTCATCAAAGAAGCTTCTCTTACAACAGCTGGACACCACTCCAGAAAGCCACACTGGTCAAAACACAGAAAACAACTGACTGTGGTTGCTCAGCCCCAACTGATACATCTACAGCACAACTCCTACACCTAAGGTTCACCCAGAAGATATTAAATAATAAGAATAAGAGGACCAGGACACCTGCTGCAAACATGTGTTGCCTATATGACACAGAAGCTGTCCCCATGAACTCAAAACAATATGGTTACCTAAATAAGACCTGGTAATGGCAACACCCTATTGTTTGGAGCCCCTTATATAATCAATCTGTATTGACTAGATTTATGTCAATTTGACGCAAGCTAAAGTCATCTGAGAGGAGGGAACCTCAAATGCCTCCATAAGATTGGGTTGCAGGCAAGCCAGTTGAGCATTTTCTTAATTACTGACTGTTGGGGGCGGACCCAGTCCTTTGTGGGTGGGACCACATCTGGGCTGGTGGTTCTGGGTTCTATAAGCAAGGCCATGTTCTACTGAACAGGCCATAAAGAGCAAGCCAGTAGACAGCACCCCTCCATGTCCTCTGCATCAGCTCTTGCCTCTAGCGTCCTGCTCTGTTTGAGTTCCTGCCCTGACTTCCTTTAATGATGAGTTGTGATATGGAAGCATAAGCCAAATAAACCCTTTCCTCCCCAATTTGCTTTGGTAGTAACTCTAACTCTGACACAATCTTGTCGAGTAGTAGCACATATAAAACACATCACTGATGATCTAGCTTCCAAAGTCTAGATCACCAAAAGGCATGTTTCTATACTCACATCACTCTTGGATAGCCCTCCAGTTTTCTGTGTATCATTGCTTCTCCTAACCATTCATCTACTTACTCTTACTTCTGCCTATTCTCATGTCACTCATAACTGGAAGCCAAGGTCAAGCATACCACCTGCCCCATACCAAATTCACACTAGTCCAATCCTGTAACATTTATGACCTACATCATCATTTCCAAAAGCATATTCCAAGGAACATGCTTGAAGGCATTACTTCATGATGCAGGAAATTTGTGTCTACCACACAGATCTCATTCTTCAGTCTCAAAGTATACTGCTATCTTAATGGTCTGGGAAATCCTAATATCCCAACCCAGCTGACTGCAGCAACCAGCTGACATTTTGAAAACACTAGCATGCTCTCAAACATAACTTGGAATACTACTGCTTTTGTGTTGTTTTTTTTTAATTCAAGCATTATCCATACTTTTTAATACCTTTTCTACTCTTATTAGATTACAAGTATGTATATCTCTGTGTTTCCCAAAACTGACTGGAAGTTCTTTAGGAAATTCTGTTGTTACTTTGGATGTTTAAAGACCTGCAGAGGACCATAAGCTAGATCCCAACTGTTCAACTGACAACCTCTCTAAAATCTAAAGAGCAGAGTATTTTTAATAAAGTAACCTGTCCCTAACACGGAAATCATTAGCTGATGATGTAAACATGATAAATAGATGACAGATCTGAGCCTGTTGTATCCCCCCTGTGTTACATAGTAATTTCTTCCAAATTAAAACATTCTGTCCTGGAAGGAGGCTTCTTAAGACTCAGAAAGTAAATGAAGTTTACAAAGCTCAAGAAATAAACAACTCACAGATCTCAGAAATCACCTGACACAAGATTAGCAAGGCTCCTCCCCCACGATAAACTAAGCAGTGACAAATGTGGGGCAAGACACTCTCCAAGTAGCTGAGGTGGTGACAGATTGTAGAGGGAGCTTCAAGAGCACAGCCTTCATGAATCACCACCCATGTTGCAATGGGCTTTTCAGCCATGCAGCTATCTTTGAGTCATCCATGTTCCTCTAAGCCCACACCCATGCTCTGTAAGTAAGCCCCAAAACTCATTAGTTCAGCAAGTTGAACTATGGTAGAGTTATTTTGATCTCTCACCGATACCTTATCTGGACTGAATAGATGTGTTTGTTCATGTTTCCACAGGAAGGCATTCAACACCCCAAAATTCAGACATCATAGTACCAGCCCCTGAGTACTTTAAAATACAGCAGTATTTGCAAAGTACAAAGGCAATGAAGGCTAAAGGAGGTTATGTGGGAAGACCCTGATCCAACCTATCACTCTTAAAAGAAATTTAGACATATCAGGATGCACAGGCACCAAAGACAGATCAGGTGAAGACACACTGAGAAGGTGACAATAAAAATGGTCTCAGAAGAAACCAACTTGACAACTCTTTGATTTGGAACTTCTAAACTCCAGAATTATGAGAAAATAAATTTCTGTTATGGTATTTTGTTACAAACTAAATCAGATGACCTATCCTGAATGCTACCTAACTACATAAACACATGCACACATAAAAGTGCCTTTGCTCACAGAGTAACTAACTCAGTGATTAACAATAACATTCTATGTTCAGAAGACAGTCATTAAAATAATGAAGAAACCTGAAGTAAAATGATAACTAGCTGAGGAACTGGGGAAGACTGAAAAAGACTACTAATGGAGAGGAAGTGGGAAGACAGGCTTTTATCCATGTAAAATCAAAGAGAAATAAAAAAAAAAATGAGTGGCTGAAAGTAGACTGACTTCAGCTCAAAATCAGAACCTGTAATATTTAAACCAACACAAATGCAGGATGAGCTACTCAAAGGAAGGTTTACCATCAGGGAAGATGAAAAAGTATAGTTTGGACAATCCATCAGGCAGGAGCACTAAAGGAGCACCGTACTGATGTCAGATGGAAAGCAGGACTAGAAGTCTCTTCGATTCCAGCAGCGCTCTGTCTCTGGGTCTCTGAAAGGCCTACGTTGTATCCCCCCAGCAGCTGCTGCTCTCAGACACAGCAAGGACAGAAAGAGGAAGGAAAAGATGTCCTCCTCAAAACAAGGTCTGCAGGAGCAAGGCCTTCAAGAAATATTCGTGCTCAAAGAACCATTGCCATGCCAAAAAGAAAGCTAAATATAATTTTTGTAAATCTAAGTGCCAGTTTATATTGCTTCTGTAAAATATCTTCTACATTCCAAATTAACTCAACACAACCTGGGGAATGTGCCCTGTTTAGGAGGCAATCTACTTGGATACTTTATGTATGCTGTATTTTCTCCCCAAGGGTGTAAATTCCTCAGGGACAAAGGGTGTGTTTTTGGAATATCCACACACATCTGAAGGTGATGCTCGACTAACAATTCTGCTTCACTAATAGAGATGAAACTCAGTAGACTCAAAAATTTGCAGATAGAGGCAAATCGTACTTATGAGTTAGGGCACAGACTAATCAATTGCCTCTTCAAATAGTTTCCTTGCAAAAACCCTGGAAAAGTCATTTAACCTCTCTCGTCTGTTTTACCATCTGCAAAGTAATCCAACTGAAGGCTACAAGATATATTCCAACAAAAAAGCATGTTACACAATAAATACGTAGTGAGGTTTAACAGACCACTCAGCACATACGCTACAAGACATTCAAGTTTTTAAATTAATAGAACAACTCCTCATTTTCCTACCAGAAAATCAAAACAATTGGTTTAATATACAAGTATATATAGCTGAAGGTATAATTAGTGAAGATCTTTGACTTTGAGACAGAAACTTGCTTCTTCCGGAATTCTCCAAAGGAATCCAACAATCAAAAAGGAATAACATTATTCTGCACCCAACCATGGTACTCTGAGCCTACGTCAATTAACAGCACACTTCACACAACCCACATTTCTTCCTTCTAGAACCTGTTCCTTTCTTTATCCCGCCCCCCCCACTCCCGCCCCCTTTGCGACTCTAAAGGCAAAGAACAGTCAAACTTCTTCATATCTGGACCCCGAAACTCACTCTGCATGCCCCGCTCCTCACCCCATACCAGCACCATCCTTACTGCCCGCCAACAGAGGCAATCGGATGAGGCAGGCTGTGCGACCCGGGCTGCGGAGCCGCAGGGGATCCAAACCACTACCGGACCACACCTGAGGTGGCCCGGCCCCAGGCCCCGGGCACAGCCCCATCCTTCTTCAGTGACAGAAGCACTGCCACCTCATCACCGCCAAGTTCACGGTGTCTGCGAGCACAGCCACGCTATCCCGCGCAAAGGGAGGACGACCCCAGCCCCACTCTCAGGCCCAGTCCTTTCTCCCCCTAAATACCATTTCAACTGCCTTAGATTTTAACTTCTGCTCAAAGCGAAAGCAACCAGAACCCACCTGGAGTATGCAGAACTGCCGCAAAGTACAAATCTGGAAGGCGCATGCGCATTTCCCCAGGCATCGCTAGCGTGGGGGTAAGTAGCTGAGCGATCACTAACTCGAAATTTGATTAAAATGGTCTTTACATGGGTTAAGAGTGGGAGCGCGACTCCATCGTTGCGCATGCGCCTGCTCTGAGCCTGATGGGAGTTGTAGTTTCACGGTGCTACCCACATGACTTCAGTGTATGGAACCCCAAGTCCTAGTTCAGGGTCCCACTGCTGCTCATTACTGGGCGGCAGTCCAGAGACGGGCCCAGTGGCCGCGTCTGGACAACACTGCCCGCGATGCTGCTGCTGTGGGTGTCGGTGGTCGCAGCGTCGGCGCTGGCGGCGCCGGCTCCCGGAACACGAGAGCAGAAGCTGCAAGTGGCCCAGGCACCCAACGTAGTGCTTGTTGCCAGTGACTCCTTCGTAAGTACTCTGAGGACGGCGAGCGGACGCTGCCCACAGCCTGTGGAGAGACGACAGGGAGAGCGGGACACTGGGGTTGAGAGGTCCTGCAGCGCACACCTGCACACGTGTGTGCCTGTATGCAAAGTAATAGTACCTGCACACGTGTGTGCCTGTATGCAAAGTAATAGTAAGAAGGCAGTCTCGAACTTCTGGACTCTGGCGATCCTTGTGCCTCAAACTCTCTAGAGACTACACTCGCGCACCGCAGGCACAGATTTTTACTTTTTAAAGCCAGACTAGGTCCACGAAAACATTTGCCGTTATTAGTTAATGCTTAGCCTATATCCTGGTTTAATTCAGTTGTAAAGGGAAATGCATTGTGCACTTCCATAAAATCTTATTCTTTTTCCAAAATGACGTGCCAGTCACTTACGTTTGAAAAAATTAATGTTTGGGTGAGAAATGAAGGACGTTTAATTATCTAGACCAGTGGTACTCAACCTGTGGGTAGCAATCTTCTGGGGGTCAAACGACTTTTCCACAGGGGTTGCTGAAGACCATCGGAAATATCAGATATTTACATTGCGATTCATAACAGTAGCAAAATTACAGTTATGAAGTAGCAACAAAATAATTTTAGGGTTGGGAGTCATCAAAGGGTTGCATCATTAGAAAAGTTGAGAAACGCTGATCTAGACATTTAATAATTGTGTTCGTGCTGGTTTAAATGTTAGTTGTTATAATTTAATCTACTTTTGCCTGGCAGTGGTGGTGCACACCTTTAATCCCAGCACTGTGGGGGGAGTTGGGGGGGGCGATCTCTGTGAGTTCCAGGCCAGCCTAGTCTACAGGGCAAGTTCCAGAACAGCTAGGACTGAAACCTTGTCTCAGAAAATCAAATAACAATAATAATAATAAATAATAATAATAATCCGCTTTCTTGAAAAAGATGATTGATCAGACATAATACATTTCAATTTCAAAGCTTATGATAAAGCTTAATAATATATTACAGGCTGAAAGATAAATATTTAGATCAATAAAATAGATTTAAGAGTCTAGAAATAAATTCTTATAAACAAGTAGTGCTGGGGAAATTACATATCCACATGTAAAAGAACAAAATTGAACCCTGTCTTCCGCCATGTGTAAAAATTAACTTAAAATGAGTCTATGAGTTAAAGACTCCTTCAAGAAAATGGAAGTGTAAATTTTCATAATCTTGGATTAGACAATTTAAAATGAGCCTAAGATTTGAAAAGATATTTCCCCATAGAATATACACAAGTGGCCAATAAGCACATAAGACGTTGCTTAGCATTGATAATTATTAGGGAATTGTAGATCAAACCATAGTGAGACATTATGTAGATCAAACCAGTTCATTCCCATAAGGATAGCCAGAATCATAAAAGTGTGAGGTGAGTATTTGAGAAGACAGGGAGCCACAGGAGCCAGAGGAGGTGATGTGGAGGTAAATATAATCAAAGTATGAAACTTGCAATAAGTGCATTATTTTGTACAGCTAATATATGATAAGTTCTTCCCTGTACTAATTACACACACACACACACACACTAGACAATAACCACAGTTTGTGAAAATATGGAGGCATTGGGAACCTCATACACTGCTGTTGAGAATGCTTTGTAAAGTGGTGAAGCCACTTTGGGAAAGCATTTGACAGTTTTTTCGGTAATTAACTATAGAGTTGCTATGCAATCCAGCAGTTCTATTCCTAGGAGTGTGTGTGTGTGTGTGTGTGTGTCCAAGAGAAATAAAAGCATAGTCCACACAAAAGCTTCTTCATGACTATTCATAGCAATATTATGCTAGAAGATAAAAAGTGAAAGCAACCTAAATATCCATCCACTGGTAAATGTATAAATGAAATTTCATTGTATTATTCAGCAGCCAAAAAAGAAATCCAAAAGTCATGCATGTTACAAAGTGTTTAAACCTAAAAAATATGTGTTCTCAGTAAAAGAAATGACGATGGACTAAAATTTATATGAATCTATGTATCTGAAATGTCCGGAGGAAGCACCTGTGTAGAGACAGGAATTGTGTTAGTGGATGCCTCGGTTTAGGATGAGTGCAGGGTGATGGCTAAGGGTTCTATTGGGAATGATGAAAGTATTCTGAATGACTTTCTAAATATACTAAACAACCTTTGAATTGCACCCTTTAAGTAGATTGTATGTAAATTCTATCTGGATAAAGTTTTGTTTTAAGAAAAGATAAAAAGCGCTTCTGCTCGGGCCTTTAAGAACAAAGGACCCTCCTGCACATCTGAGTCCACACACACTGCACCTCCTCTCTGTTGCAGCTACGGTGGTGTGGTGGTTTGAAAGAAAATGGTTCCCAAAGGCAGTGGCACTATTAGGAGGTGTTAGAGGAAGTATGTCACTGTGGGGGTGGGATTTGAGGTTTCTTTTGCTCAAGCTTCACTCAGTGTGACACTCAGTCCACTTCCTGTTGCCATCTGATCAAGATGTAGCCAGTACCATGAGTGCCTAAAAACTGCCATGCTCCCCGCCATGATGATAATGGACTGAACCTCTAAACTGTAAGCTGCCACCTCAATTAAATGTTTTCCTTTTTAAAAGTTGCCAGGGTCATGTGGTTTTTTTTACTCTTCGGGCTCTTTTGGGGGCCCACCATCCAGCTCCCAAATACACAGAGGCTTATTCTTTCTTGTGAATGCCCGGCCTTTGCTTGGCTTGTTTCTAGCCAGCTTTTCTTAAATTATCCCATCTATCTTTTGCCTCCTAGCTTTTATCTTTCTCTATTTCTGTGTACCTTTCTTTACTTCTTCATGGCTTACTGTGTAGCTGGGTGGCTGGCCCCTGGTGTCCTCCTCCTTTTCTTGCTCTTCCTTTGGCTTCTCTCAGATTTCTCCTCTCATTTATTCTCTCTGCCTGCTAACCCTGCCTATCCTTTCTCCTGTCTCACTATTGGCTGTTCAGTTCTTTAGTAGACCAATGAAGTGTTTTAGATAGGCAAAATAACACAGCTTCACAGTTAAACAAATGCAACATAAAAGAATGCAACACATCTTTGCATCATTAAGCATTCCACAGTATAAACAAATGTAATACATCTTAAGATAATACTCTACAATACTTCACAGTAATAGAAACCCTAGCTAACACAGGAGTTGGTGCCAAGGACTGGCATTTGTTTGGAGAAATTTGAACTTTGCTACTATTGGTTTGGAAAGCAGTAGAATGCATTAAGCAGTGCTTAATGGGCCATTATTGTAGGAGCTTGGAAGACAGTGGTACTGGTAATGATTTGAACTATCAAGGGCTGGCTCAGGAGGTTACAGAGGAGAAAAATATTAATATGTGGCCTAGAGATTATTCTTGTGTTATTTTGGTGGTGAATGTGACTGCTTTTTGCCCTTGTCTGGAGAGTCTGCCTGAGGCTAAAGTGAAGAGCTTTGGATTAATTCTGTTAGCAGAGGAAATCTCAAACAGCCTAGTACAGACTCTGTCATGTGGTTATTAGTGTTAAAACTAATGAAGATTTATAATGAAAAAGAGCAAACTGAGCAGATAAAAATACAAAATGTACAATTTGAGGAGAAAAAGGCACACCCGGAAGTAGAATAGAGTTAAATCCTGTGTTCAAGGAGATAAACAGATTAAGAAATGGAATAAAGGGAGTGGTGACCTCAGGGCAAGATCCAGCTAAGTTTCCAGCTTGTGAAAAGGAGTTAAAGAAAAGCTGGGTGTAGTGCTGCACACCTTTAATACCAGCCCTCAGGAGGCAAAGGCTGGCAAGCAAAGGATGGCAGATCTCTGAGTTTGAGGCCAGCCTGGTCTACGGAGCAAGTTTTAGGACAGCTGAGTTTAGGCAGTGAAGGACAGAAAGCTGGTGAAGATGGAATTGAATGGGAGTGCCATGTTCCAGCCCCAGTAAGCAACAGAACTTGGCAGCTTCAGCCACATGGTTCTGGAGTTAAGGATAGCAGAAAGGGGCTATGGAATTTGCCCCCAAGACTAAGGAAAGCCACTGAGGCCAGGCATGTGTCAGGGATGTCCCTGAATGGAGGCCTGGAGAGGCCATTGTGTGAAGCTGAAGCCTGGATTGCTTTGGAGATCCCAAGATGTTGGAGATGCCAGAGTCATGGGATACCTGCCGAGAAGAGTTGCTAACAGGGAGTGGAACCAGCCCAAGAGAAAGAGGCATGTTGTAGTCAACAAAGCTGACTTAGAGTTGGAGATCTGAAGAGTGTCTTGGCATCAGACATGGAGATACAGTGTTTGGAGTTTGCCTGGCTGGTTTTCAGTCTGGCTTTCCAGATTTCCTCACTATGTGACCTTCCCTGTGTTTTGGAAGGGTAATATATATCCTGTGCTTTATATGTTGGAAGTATATCATCTGTTTTTGATTTTGATTTTATAGGGGATTACAGTTACGAGATTACATGAATCTCAGAAGAGACTTTGAACTTTGGACTTTTAAACATTGTTAAGACTGATAGACTATGGGGACTTTTAAACTTAGACTGAATGCATTTTGCTTTATTAATTGGCTTCAAGACTTTGGGGGCCAGGGAGTGGAATGTGGTAGTTTGTAAGAAAATGGCCCCCAAAGGAGTGGCACTGTAAGCTGCTACCTCAGTTAAGTGTTTTCCCTTATAAGAGTTGTGGTCATGGTGTCTCTTCACAGTAATAGAAACCCTAACTAAGACAAGTAGTTTTCATTTTGATGAGGTTTCAGAAGTCAATAGTAGCACGGGAATGTATATTGCAGACTCTTAAGAATATCACTTGTCATGGTCAATAAGTCTAAAAGGCATGCAATACACAGCCGTGCCGTAACGATGGACCTTCATTGTTTGACTCTTAGGTTAGGATGAAACTTTTCCTAGTGAACTTTAATTGTCAATTTGATATAACCTAAAATTATCTGAGGGGAAAGCGTCAATTGAAGAATTGCCTAGATCACACTAGCTATGAGTGTGTCTGTGGGAGTACCTTAATTAGCATTTCTATTGCTGTGATAAAACACTGTAACTGAACAAAACTTGGTGGAGAAAGGGTTGGTTTCATCTTGAAAGTCTCGTACTCCATCCAGTCCCGCAGGAACTGAAGCAGAAGCTGTGGAGGAAGAATGCTTGCTGGCTTTGCTCCTCTTGGCTTGCTCAGCCTGCTTGCTTATACAACCCAGGACCCTTGACCCAGAACTGGCGCTGCCCACAGTGAGATGGACCCTCCCACATCAATCAATCAAGCAAATACCCACCCCCCAGACTTGCTCATTGGCAGTCTGATGAAGGCATTTTCTCAGCTGAGGTTCCTCTTCCCAAGTAACTCTAGCTTATGTCAAGTTTAAAAAAAAATGGGATAGGGAGATTGTCTTGATTATTAATTGATACAGGAGAGCCCAGAGCATTGAGGGCACCACCATCCCATGGCCTGTCTAGGTGGTTCTGGGCTATGTAAGAACTCTTAACTCTAGGACCAGGCAGTGGTGGCACACGCCTTTGGTCCCAGCACTTGGGAGGCAGAGGCAGGCGGATTTCTGTGAGTTCCAGGACAGCTAGGGCTACAGAGAGAAACAGTGTCTAAAAAACTGGGAAAAAAGAACACTAACTAAGCATAAAACTGTGAGTGAGCTAGCCAGAAACCAAGTCAGCAAACAGTGTTCCCACATGGTTTCTGCTCCTCAAGATCCTGCTTGAATTCCTGCCTTCTCAGTTATGGACTGTAACCTGGAACTAATAAATCTTTCTTCTTGTAAATTGCTTTGGGTCATGGTTATGTTTGTCACAGCAACAGAATAAAACTAGAACAATGCTTGAAATCTAAACTTCTCTTTTGATCCTCCTTAGTCCAAAATGATAAGGAACTAAATACCATGCCATGGTTCAGAAGCAGCATTTAGAATTTATTAGAATTCATAGCCATAGCTGGGATATAGCTCATTTGGTACAGTACTTGTCTAGCATGCACAGATCCCTTAGTTCAGTCACCAGCACCACATAACGAGGACAAGGTAATGTATGCCTCTGATCCCAACAGTCAGGAGGCAGGAGACTGGGAATCAGAAGTTCCAGGTCATGATAACAAGTCAGAAGTTGCCTGTTTCAAAAGAAAAAGTATATATTTGTGCAGATTTACACATATAATTCACACAAGTATTCAAAGTTAATTTGCTAATGTTCTTTTTACCTCTCCCAATGGGGTGTGAGTTTCCTGGGAATGGGACTCTATTTTAATCTCACCATTGTATCCTCAGACCTTGCAAGGTGCCTGATACATAAATACACAGGTATTTAAGGTTTATTAAAATAATTTTTTAATTATTTCTTCATTCTCCAAATGAACTTTCCAAGAAGCACTTTAACCTAATGTATGCAAATGAATTTGAGCATAACATTCTTTCAAATGTTGTTTGGGCACTGGATCTTTATAACATACCTCTGCTTTTTATTCTTTTTGAGATTTCATGCAAACATATTAAAGTCTTTGGGGTAGTAAATTTTGTGTTTAAAATTAAAGGGGGAAATTTTTTTGGTAATGTAATCAAGGGTATCATGGAACTGGAGTTACAAACAAGTGTGAACCATGTGGGTACTGGGAACCGAACCCAGGTTCTCTAGAAGAGCAGTCAATATTCCCAATTGCTAAGCTATCTCTTCAGCCCCCAAACAGATCTATTCTTATCTGAGGCAATGATAAAAATTAATAGTTTTTATTCAATGAGTTGGGTTTTTTTTTCTTCTTCTTAAAATACATCCTTGAATTTTAGCATTTCATGATCTTGTTCTTGATTTAACAACCTGAATTTTCTAGCTTCCTGCCTTTGATTTTTGAAACCCAATATTGATTTAAGTATGAGAAACAGCATCATAAACTAGCACACTGTCATATGCAATCTGGAGATAGAAATTAAAAGAATATTACTGCCATCGCCTCTAATTGTTCAAGCCTGTGATGGTTATGTGAAAGAAGAGAGGCTAGGTTGGGAATGGGGGGCTCACAGGGCAAAGCGGGTTGCTGCACAAGCCTGATGGCTGAGTTTGCCATCTGCACAGTAAAAGTTAAAGTGAAAGGCCGAGGATAGACACTGAAACTTGTCCTCTGTGTGTACATGGTGATCAGCAGTGGCTGAATTTCTTCATTTCAGGATGGAAGACTAACATTTCAACCAGGAAGTCAGGTGGTAAAACTTCCCTTTATCAACTTCATGAAAGCGCATGGCACCACCTTCCTGAATGCCTACACTAACGCTCCCATCTGCTGTCCATCTCGTGCAGGTATGAATGTGCCTAAAAGGACATCCAGATTTAAAATATCATATGCAAAAATCTATCATAAAGTCACATCTAGTACCTAATAAAAATGCCTCAGTGAAATTGCTGTGTGTTCTAAGGTATGAATGTTGGGGTCATTTGATTTTCTAATTTTTCTGAAGAATTTGTTTTAGAGTTGAATTTGAATTTCTCGTTTTTCTAAAGAAGGGCTTTTTCTTGCCTGAGATGCTGTCTAGTTCCTGTGTTTCATTTCATTTGACTGTCAAAGCAGATGAGCAGGTACTCATGCTTCAGAGAGTTCTGTTTCCTGGAGGTCTTTCTGCAAAGGCTTAGGAAGGAGTCAGCAGGCTCTCTGGAAGATTCTTCCCAGGCAGAACTCATATTCATGTTTATCTGAAGTTTTTCCAAATTATCTCAGACTATACGCTTCATCTCTTTTTCTTCTGTCCCAATTTACGTCTATCACAAATCTAAGTGCTCACTTTATTGTAATAATTTAACAAATAGCCATAGTTTTGATGGCAAACATGTCAGTGATCATAAGCTATAGGTTTCAAAAATGAAAATTTGTTTTTAAGAATCTTGTCTGAAAGGTACTCTCCTGCCAGATCCAGCCCAACCTTCAGATAGTCCTTGGTATAGGGCAGTGTGGATTGAGAAATAATAGATATAAAAAAATATAAATGTAGACAAAAAGACAGAGACACAGGATAGCTTCAGGAGGGCTCTGTGTCAATACCACAGTGGCCTCAAGTTTATTCCTAATGGGCTTTTTATACACCAGCAAGGGGCGAGGCAAAAGACCTTCCCCTTTCAAAGTCAAGGTACAAGGTACAAGCAAGTGTATTTTCAAAGACCTCGTAACCACGCCTTACAGCTAAGCATCTTGTAATTAGAACTTGAAGTATAAGACATCTCATCTGGTAATCATGCCTTTGTGTAGTTTTGGTGCCTGTCCTGCATCTCACTCTGTAGACCAGGCTGGCCTTGAACTCACAGAGATCCTCCTGGCTCTGCCTCCCGAGTGCTGGGATTAAAGGGGTGCGCCACCACCGCCCTGCCAAAATGTCCTGTTATGCAGCCTTGTGGAACAAAGCAAACCCGTACTTTGTGACCCTGAGTCCAGATGGAATAAGGCCTCACTATGGAGTCTCTGTGGACCCCTCACTCTCCTTTACCTCTGTTTGTGTGGTCTTTGGTTATCTGCCATGGAACCTGTAAATAACCAAAAACAGTTTGATTTCTTTATGAGCCGCTGAGATGATAGTCTCTGTGATTTCAGTTATAACCACCTTCACTACATTTCTAGAGCTATCTGGTCACCAGTGGTTAAGGAAACCTATGTTATCCTAATTGATATTTCAACGATGAAAGATACATCATATGTAAAATCGTGTTTGCTGACTTCTGTCCTGTGTTGACTAGAAGGAGCCTGAGCTAGGGTAAAGTGACTCTAAACCTCAGTGAACCCTTAATCAGCTTAACCTCTAGGCTTTGGTGGACTCCTCTGAAGAACAGAAATACTAACTCCTTGTAAATCTTCCTCTCCAATAAAATGAGTAGCATTGAGAAATGTCTGGAAACTGCATTTCTTATTCCAGATCACAGACTGTAATAAAACAGCCAGCCACACTCAGAATAATTGCTTTTATAGTTAAGTTGCTAAGCTTTACCTTAGCCAGTTTCTGTTATTTCTCTTTTTCCTTCAGCAATGTGGAGTGGCCTCTTCACTCACTTAACAGAATCTTGGAATAATTTTAAGGGTCTCGATCCAAATTACACAACATGGATGGATGTCATGGAGAAGCATGGCTATCAGACTCAAAAATTTGGAAAACTGGACTATACTTCAGGACATCATTCCGTTAGGTAAAAATTGAAACAAAGTTAACCCAGCACTGGGCTCTGCTGTCATACGTTCATGTACTCTCCTTATACTTACTTTACAGTGAGGCTGAAAACAATTCTCTTACTCCCTCAATTATACCAATTTGGCTAAAGCTTGACTTTCTTTAATTTTGTTAAAATATTTATTTTTTTTATTTTATTTTTTATTTTTTATTTTTTTTTTTGGTTTTTTCGAGACAGGGTTTCTCTATGTAGCTTTGCGCCTTTCCTGGAGCTCACTTGGTAGCCCAGGCTGGCCTTGAACTCACAGAGATCCGCCTGGTTATGCCTCCCAATGCTGGGATTAAAGGCGTGCGCCACCACCGCCCTGCTTAATTTTGTTAAAATATTTAAATTGTTAATATTCTGATGGTTTTTTGTCTAAAACATTAATATCTATAATTAATGGATTTTAGTATTTGTAAAATAGTTTAGCCTCTGAATTATTGTGAGTTTCTGTTATATAATTTTTTTCATTTTACAATCTTTGTAACAGGAGCCCCTTTAACTTTAACAGTTCTCTAGAACTTGAAGTTATTGTCACTTTTTTTTCATTTTAGTAAACCTTCAAAAGGCAGGCAGCTGTCTTAGCTAGGGGTTTGGCTCAGTGGTGGAGAACATGCTTGGCATGCACACAGCCCTGGGTTCTACCCACAACACCACAAAAAGAAATGAGCAGCTAAGCACTGTGGTGAAGAGTAGAAATCTAATTCCTCATTTTGAATTCTAGCTTCTCTAATGACTACTAAACTTGTGGTTGTGTAATCTTGAAGACACCTAAGCCCTCTGAACTTTAATATGATGACTAAACTAGATAATCAGTGCAGGAAATTGCTAACATGCAGACCTGAAACTTACCATAACAATATTTGCCTGCCCATATGATTGTCCCTGGCTGGTGTCTGGGAACTTGGGTTTAAGGGTGTTTTTCCACCGTTCTGTAACTGATAGGCGTGGCCTGGAGTGTGTGTATAATTTGATTTATGTTAAACAATCAGCTTTCTTCGGAGACAAGAATTTTGGTAGGGGGTAGGTCCAAGGTGCCCACATGATTAGCCTTCAGTAAAAACCGGAGTGCTAGTTCTCTGAGTCAGGGCAGCACTTCACATGCCCTGAACAGAGGCAGCGCTTCCCCCATAGTTACAGCCCCACATGGGAAGAATCTGGGGTGCTCTTGAGCTCTCTGCTTGGAAGCTTGTGCCCGGTTCTGTTGGTCTGCACCCTGTGCCTCTCTTTGTGCTGATTTAGCTGTGTGCACTTTGATATAAACAGATATAAAATCCCAAGTCCTGCGGTTCCTCCTGTAAACCTGGGTGTGATCTACAGTTCCCTAACACTTGGGACTCCCAACAGAAACACAAGACTAGGCAGCGCCTTGTGCCGAGTAAGTGATAATTGAGAGTGACAATAATAATAGTGAGGAGAGATCGTAAGAAAGAGAATTGAAAACTAAATGTCATAAAAATAGCAGTCGGGGTGATGAATTGAACAATGTTCCACGCAAACTTGAAGAGCACTGGGACTTATTTGGAAATAGATCCTAGCTACAGATGTAACTAACTAATGTATAGATGTCTCAAGATGACAACCACTATACTTAGGATAAACGCTAAATACAGTGCCCTCCACTCTTATTATAAGAAGGGGACAGGCACAGATGCGCAGAGGGGACAGTTAGGGTCAGAAGCGGAGACTGGAGTGACACCAGAGCAAGTCGGAGAATGTGACAGATCCCTGAGTCACCATAAACCAGGCAGACACAGTGAGCAGTCCCTCAGAGAGCCTTCAGTGAGCATCCCTCAGAGAGAGAGCCTTCAGTGAGCAGTCCCTCAGAGAGAGAGCCTTCAGTGAGCAGTCCCTCAGAGAGAGAGCCTTCAGTGAGCAGTCCCT